CGACATGCTGACTGCAGTGGGGTTTGAACCTGTGCTCCCCTGATCTGAACACCAACGCACAACCCACTGCACCACACGCCTCTGTTTATGCTTGCAGGCCTTAGCTAATCTGAACTAAGGCCTGAATTCTGCTTTGAACCAGTATTCTTGCATCGTGTGACTGTAACACCCTCTCTTGTATATAAGGCATGTCAAGGACACTATTCGGGAACTATTTTGTCTGTATGTGATGACTACTTCCATTCTTGCAATGATAATAAATACATGTATCCTGATATTGAAGCTCAAGCCGCCTGACATGTTTCCAGCTCCCTCTGAAAAACCAACAAAGAGGAATACTAAAGAGGCCGAATAAGTGAAGAATAATCAGCGTGACTGAGATTCTCTCCAAAAATTAAATGTACTTAACATTACATTGCATTTAGCTGACGCTTTTATCCAAAGCGACTTACAATAAGTGCATTTGACCAACAAAATACAAACTTGAAGAAAACAGAATCATATAAGTACATCAGGCTTCATAGAGCAAAAACATTTCAAGTGCTACTCAACTGGCTTTAGGTAAGCCAGTCCTTTATTAGTATATAAGTGCTTTGTTAATAGTTCTATCGCTCGAAGTGGAGTCGAAAGAGATGAGTTTTCAGTCTGCGCCGGAATGTGTGTAAGCTTGTACTGTATGAATGTTAATGAAACAGCTCTAGATCGAGGTTTTTGTGTGATTTTCAGCCCGTACAAAATCTTTAATTTGGCTTTTTCCTATTTGTTGATTGGAGAATACCCTGGGGACCCCCTCATGAATGTTCCTAACCCTTATGTTGTGTTCGGGTCTCCCGTGACCCGTTTCAAATACAAATTATATAATAACTTACGCTCTAGTTTTTTGTATCTGAACAAGGCTTCGTGATATCCTCCACAACAGATATATAAACACTACCAAACTGATTTTGACAATTTTAGCCAAGTCTGAAGGTCTCTAAAAAAAAAAAGTGTATAATTTGGTGTTGGGGTCTGGGGAGACCCGGCAGAATTGTTGTGGGTCACTCGGGGTCAAATTTTGCCCAATCAAAATTCATCTTTGACTTTAGACACCCCTCCCCACCCCCTTCATCCACTGTAACAATAATTTTTCGCAAAATGCACCTGGTCTCCCATCCCTCTTCCCCCCTCCCCCCACGGGAACTCGACCTTCCACAAAGAATATGTAAGGCAAGGCAAGGCAAGGCAAGGCAAGGCAAGGCAAGGCAAGGCAAGGCAAGGCAAGGCAAGGCAAGGCAAGGCAAGGCAAGGCAAGGCAAGGCAAGGCAAGGCAAGGCAAGGCAAGGCAAGGCAAGGCAAGGCAAGGCAAGGCAAGGCAAGGCAAGGCAAGGCAAGGCAAGGCAAGGCAAGGCAAGGCAAGGCAAGGCAAGGCAAGGCAAGGCAAGGCAAGGCAAGGCAAGGCAAGGCAAGGCAAGGCAAGGCAAGGCAAGGCAAGGCAAGGCAAGGCAAGGCAAGGCAAGGCAAGGCAAGGCAAGGCAAGGCAAGGCAAGGCAAGGCAAGGCAAGGCAAGGCAAGGCAAGGCAAGGCAAGGCAAGTTTATTTATATAGCACTTTTCAACACAAGGCAATTCAAAGTGCTTTACAAAAAATGAAAGAGATTAAGAAAATGGCATTCAAAATCAGTCATTAAAAAGAAAAGCTAATAAAATAAACATTAAAAGAAAAAAAGTACATGGATAAAAGTTACAGTGCAGTCTAAGATATGAATAGTTCAATTAAAAGCAGCGACAAAAAGAAAAGTCTTCAGCCTGGATTTAAAAGTATTCAGAGTTGTAGCGGACCTGCAGGTTTCTGGGAGTTTGTTCCAGATATTTGGAGCATAATAACTGAACGCTGCTTTACCATGTTTAGTTCTGACTCTGGGGACAGAAAGCTGACCAGTCCCTGAAGACCTGAGAGATCTGGATGGTTCATAATTTAGCAGGAGGTCAGAAATGTATTTTGGGCCTAAACCATTCAGTGCTTTATAAACCAGCAGTAGTATTTTGAAATCTATTCTTTGACACACAGGAAGCCAGTGTAAAGACTTCAGAACTGGAGTGATGTGATCCACTTTCTTAGTGTTAGTGAGGACTCGAGCAGCGGCGTTCTGAATCAGCTGCAGCTTTCTAATAGATTTTTTAGTGAGACCTGTGAAGACACCATTGCAGTAGTCGAGTCTACTGAAGATAAACGCATGGACAAGTTTTTCCAAATCCTGCTGTGACATTAGTCTTTTAATCCTAGATATATTCTTTAGGTGATAGTAGGCTGATTTAGTAACAGTTTTAATGTGACTGTTGAAACTCAGGTCAGAGTCCATGACTACACCTAGATTTCTGGCTTTATCTGTTGTTTTGAACATTGCAGACTGAAGCTCAGCGCTAACTTTTATACGTTCTGACTTGGCTCCAAAAACCATTACCTCAGTTTTATCTTTTTTTAATTGGAGAAAGTTCTGACACATCCAGTCATTGATTTGTTCAATGCACTTACTCAGTGTTTGAATTGGAGCATAGTCTCCTGGTGAAATTGTTACGTAAATTTGTGTGTCATCTGCATAGCTATGGTAACTTATTTTGTTGTTATTCATTATCTGAGCCAGTGGTAGCATGTAGATGTTAAAGAGAAGAGGCCCCAAGATGGAGCCTTGAGGAACCCCACATGTCATATTTGTCAACTCAGATGTGTATTTACCTATAGAAACAAAGTTGTTTCTGTCCTTTAAGTAGGATTCAAACCAATTCAGAACTGTTTCCGAAAGTCCCACCCAGTTTTCCAGTCGGTCTAGTAATATGTTGTGGTCAACAGTGTCAAACGCAGCACTGAGATCTAATAATACTAACACTGAAGTTCTGCCACTGTCTGTGTTTAAGTGGATGTCATTAAAGACCTTTACAAGAGCAGTCTCAGTGCTGTGGTTTGGACGAAAGCCTGGATAATCTGGAACACATCGAAACAGTTATTTAAATGCAAGAAATTACTCAACTGTTGAAAAACTACTTTTTCAATAATTTTACCTAGAAATGGGAGGTTTGATATGGGCCTGTAATTGTTCATTACTGAAGCATCTAGATTATTCTTTTTTAAGAGCGGTTTAATGACTGCAGTTTTCAGGGCCTGTGGAAAAATACCTGAGTGAAGAGATTTGTTTACTATATGAAGTAGATCTGAGGCCATGCAAGGCAAAACATCTTTGAAAAATCCTGTTGGAATAATATCAAGGCAGCAGGAGGAGGATTTCAGAAGTTGAATAATGTCCTCTAGGTTTTTATCATTAATCTGATGGAATTGTGTCATGGTGTTTGAATTGATGTTAGGTGGAGATAGGGACAACACATTTGCTGTTCCTGATGCAGAGGCACTGACTGCTTGTCTGATTTTCTGAATTTTGTCAGTGAAAAAGGCAAAATCATTGCACGCCCTGGTGGATAGAAATTCAGAGGCCACTGACACTGGGGGGTTAGTTAGTCTGTCGACGGTAGCAAACAAGGCACGTGCGTTGTTTTTGTTTTTGGTAATGATGTCAGAGAAGAACGATGTAGACTAACACTTGAACCTGAACTCACACATGCACGTATGCAATAGAAGAAGAAGAATTGGGAGGGATGAAACCTTCTTTAATGGTCACACATGCAGAGCACACAGCACACAGTGAAATGTGTTCTCTGCTTTTAACCCATCCTAGTACCAGGAGTCTAGCACTAGGAGCAGTGGGCAGCTATTGTACAGCGCCCGGGGAGCAATGGGAGTGAGGGGAGAAGGGGGATGTCCGGTGCCTTGCTCAAGGGCACCACGGCAGGGCAGGAGGTGAACTGGGACCTCTCCAAGTAGCAGTTCACACTCCATATTTTATCTGGTCGGGGACTTGCCGGATATGTGGTGTAATGTGTTTTGGGGCCATAAAATAAAATTACAACAGGATTGTACGGTTATGAATGCATAATAAGTTAGTTATGATGTAGTTAAAACAATATTGGATGATAGTCTTTTGGACTGAGATAAATCATGGGTCAAAATTGACCCGCGAACACCATGAACGGTAACAGCTTTCGAACACAACACAAGGGTTAAATGGTCATTTAAATGTAAATATCTGAACCTGCTGACAGAGTGCCATAGAGGCTAAATAAAAAACATTAAAAAAACGTGATCTCATATATATTTGTAAAATAAAAATCAAATCAAATTTTTGTAAAAATATTTTAAAATAATTCTACATTTTGTGCAAATGTTATAATAATAATAATAATAATAATAATAATACAAATAAATCAATGCATAAATAGATTAATGACAATTTTTTATTATATGAACATTATGTAAAACATAATAAAAAATATGTAAATTCATGTAAAGTTTAAAAAAAAATCCATTGATAATTTATTTATAGTTTTTTTGTTTATTCCACACATGGCAGTTATTTTAAAACAAAAACATGTACACTTAAAGTGTTTTTTAAATTATTTTATAGCGCATGGTGGAAAGGAGCAGGGAGAAGAAAATCTTATGTTACCTGCCCCTTCTTTAAAAAAAAAAAAATGAAATAACCATCAAGAAGTTAAATAAAAGCAATAAGATTTCAGTCACAAATACTGAAACATAAAACCAGAACAAAATCAAAAGTCAACTTTATACTGTTCCTTTCCAATTCCATTGATATAGCATAGTAGCTAATGGACCCCTCTTCCAGCAGTGTACATAAAGTACCACAGGTAGGTTATGGTTACAATAATACATATATATATAAATCGGCTGCTATACATGCTAGTGATAAAATGCTGACTCATGCTTGTGTTTTAGGACTGATTCCCGCACCGCTGTATCTCCCCGGTCCTCAGACAGCCTGAGTCCGCCCCTGCCCTCCTCTCCGCGGGCTCTTTAAGAGGAGGAAGCCGCTCTGCATCTGCTGATCCGTGGTTCCTCCTCCTCCTCCCTCCTCCCTCCTCCTCTCCCCGGCCCGCATGCTCCACAGCTCAGCCTCAGTACCGACAAACAGCCGGTGCATGAGGATCACCTGCAGCAGAATAACCGGGACATTACACCGTCATGGATCCCCGGTAACCGGAGGTACGATGCACCGGGCCTGCTGTGCTCCTCCTCCCCGGGGCTGAGCAGGTGTTTCCAGGCTGAGCTGCGGAGGGTCTGTCCTGCAGCTTTTGTTCTGCTCAGCCATGACATGTTGTGTGGGATGGACCTCCTTTAGTGTCTGTGTTTCTGAGTGCTGGTCGGTCCGGTTCTGCAGGTTCTGAGAGAGGAAGCAGGATAAAGAGGTGAGAGTGAAACTGACTGTGCTGAAAGTACGGAAGAGTGTGAGGGCCATGCATGATGAATACACAGAGAGGAGGGAGGGTTTAATTAGCATGAGGAGAATACAGTTAAAATGATGAGAATAAAGAACACATTTCCAAGTTACATTTTCGTTATTTTCGTTATTTGAGGATTATTTTATTAATTTATTTTTGCATTTTGAAAATAAAGTGGAACATTTGAGTGCAAAGTTGAAACTTCTAGAATACATTTTCAGAATTTCATGGTATTTGAGGTTTTCTAAAAACAAATGTAAATGCATTTTGAGAAATAATTTACATAAAAAGCATTTTCGACGTCTTTGACTTTATAGGATTTGTTATTGAAATGTATAGAAGGTTTGAGAGCAAATCAAACTACAATAATAACAGTCATTTATTATCCTGTTATTTTTTTAACGTTTGGAAATTCTGACTTTCAACAATTTAACTTTATTCTCTTAATTTCTACTTTTATTTTCTATTTTGGACTAACTTTCAAAAGTTTAGATTTGTTCTAAACTTTTTTTGAATAATGCAATGAGTACCTTTGCAGAATGTATGGTATTAGAGGATCATTATTTTAATTTTGTAATATTAGTTGGACAATTGGTATTTGTCCTAACCGTCTAAAGTTTGGATTTATTCTGAATTTTTTGAATTTATTCACAACATTTAAAAAAACATTTCATCATTCAAAGTTTTTTTCCAAATGGAAACAGGAAACATCATTAACCCCTTCCTCGCCAATCATGTTTTCAGACCCTGTAGTTCAGCATGTTCTCCCCCCCGAAGAGGGAGTCGAGTCTGAGGGAGCTGCCGATGGAGAGCTGGATGTCCCTGCTGCCCCCCCCCCTGTGGGACACCCCCCTGAGCCAGCTGGCCATCCCCGGTAGGCTCACACACACACACACACACACACACACACACACACACACACACACACACACACACACACACACGCACACACGCTGGGGTGGAAGCTGGGGTGGAGCTGGGGTGGAAGCTGGGGTGGAAGCTGGGGTGGAAGCTGGGGTGGAAGCTGGGGTGGATGCTGTGGGTGGAAGCTGGGGTGGAAGCTGGGGTGGAAGCTGGGGTGGAAGCTGGGGTGGAAGCTGGGGTGGAAGCTGGGGTGGTGGTGGGGTGGAAGCTGGGGTGGTGGTGGGGTGGAAGCTGGGGTGGAAGCTGGGGTGGTGGTGGGGTGGAAGCTGGGGTGGAAGCTGGGGTGGTGGTGGGGTGGAAGCTGGGGTGGAAACTGGGGTGGAAGCTGGGGTGGAGCTGGGGTGGAAGCTGGGGTGGAGCTGGGGTGGAAGCTGGGGTGGAAGCTGGGGTGGTGGTGGGGTGGAAGCTGGGGTGGAAGCTGGGGTGGTGGTGGGGTGGAAGCTGGGGTGGAGCTGGGGTGGTGGTGGGGTGGAAGCTGGGGTGGAGCTGGGGTGGAAGCTGGGGTGGAAGCTGGGGTGATGGTGGGGCAGGCGAGCAGCAGCAACAGCAGCATTAGCGAGGCAGAGGCAGGCAGATCTGGCAGCTTAAATAGAGAGGCAAATTTAGGAGAATGTGATTGGTTGGTGGTAAATGGGACGAGGTGCATCACGTGTTAATGTATCATTGGTGCTCGCGTTGACTGCCTGAACTAGCTCGCATTCTTCGCCCCATTTGAAGAGGCCTTGTTATGCTTTTTTGTTTTCTTTTTCCTGTAGTGTGTTCTTTAGATTTGAGTGCATGTAAATGGTCTGCAAAGGCTAAAAGGCCAGAGGGAGTTTCTCTCCCACACTAACCCAGTAGCAACACAACAGTGTATGTTATTTTTCCACATTTTTTAAAAATATGTTTTCTCAGTACTTAAATGTATTCTCAATGCATTTTTTCAATAATATTTCTTCATTTTTTTTCTATATTTGATCTTATTTTTACATTTTAATATCTCTTACCTTGCATTTAAACGCCTACTTAAGATTGTTTGATTTTAACTAAAAAAAGATCTCCTAAAAAAGTCCTCTATGATGCAATTGAAATACTTGCATCCTATCAAAATGTATGCTTATTGTGTTCATTATAGGGATACTATTGTAATTTATGACAGCATAATCATGATATGCAATAGCCTCAAATCTACTTCATGAAACTCTAAAATGTCTACATATCATTTCTGTTTGTTATATTTCCTCTGGTGCAGGAAGCCACAATGCGATCACGTACTGTCTGGATATGAACGACCGCTCTCCGGTGGACCTCACGCAGCCCGACCTGCTGCAGAAACTCGACAAATTCATGAAGCCTCTCATCCGGCCCTTTGTCTACAAGTGGGCCATCACACAGGTGAGACTCACAGGGAATAAACAACCCGTCAAATTATTAAGTTATGCATTACTCTCACTGCTTTGGCATTATAACTATCACACTGCATGTAAATCATTATTGTGTGTCTTAATTATAATTACAGGCTAAGACCTAACCATTTCTAGCATTAATATCAATATAATTACACTGTTGTGGGTATTTGTTTACATGATGATTATGAAGTTAATTCTTATTTTCTTCCTCTCTCGTGTGCTGCAGGAGGTCGGCATAAAGCAGCAGCTGGACTCGGGGGTCAGATACTGTGACCTGAGGATCGCTCACCGACCCAATGACACATCCACGGACCTCTACTTCTACCACGGAGTGTACACCGCGCTCACTGTGGAGGTAACACACACACACACACACACACACACACACACACACACATAAAATAAGGCTTTGAATTTCGTGTCTCTTTTCAGTATTTTGTGCCTCCATGCTTTAATGTTCAAAAAGCTCTTTATTTTTCTGTGCTGCTGCACCTCTTTTCACCCTCTGTCTGAAACCAGAGCCCAGTCTGCTCTGATTAGTTAGCTGGCCGGCTCTGTTGTGATTGGTCAACCGCTTATAGATGTCCCGCCCCTTAGCCTTCGCGTACAATATGTTGGAGCTATAGCCAATAGAAGTGCAAGTGTTACATATTGATGTAACTATTGATACAGGTTTTTCTACATGGCCCTTCAGTTTAGTCCTAGTCCTCTTATCTACTGCGTCTCCTCTCGCTCCCTTGTCTCCCGCAGGCTAACAGCCTTGGAGTTTTATCACTCTTTCCCCTCAGCAGTGTATTGGTATGACCGAAGAAGTTTGCGTCTTGCCCAAAACATTCATAAAACAATCTCTTCTTCAGATAATAACAGGACAAAGCTGACGCACTGTGTCAGACAGAAAAGACAACCAGGAGTCCATCTTATCAGGTGGATAATCACTCTCTGCTACGAACAGAATTTGCTTTGACATGTTATCAAATGCTGATTATTCTGTTAGGATTGGGCATAGGAGTGAGCAAGAGAGCTTCAGAGTTGGTACTAGGTCAGGAAATGTATCACCTTGTTGCTGCAGTGAAATGTCTTCTAAATCTTCAACGTCTAAAATCAGTTCGAGCTCATCAGTGTCCTCCTTGTCTTCTGAGTCCTTGCTCCAAAGGTTTCTTAACATCTATGTTCCGGAAGTAAACAAAGGAGTCTAATGAAAGCAGAGAAACTCCCTCTGAAGGGAACACAGGGATGTTCGCCTTTGCAGACCATTTACATGCACTAAAACCTATAGAACATACTAAATCCGGGGTGTCAAACATACAGCAAAAACCGTCCCACCATAGGGTCCAATCCGGCTCGTGGGATGACTTTGCAAAGTGTCAAAATGACAGAAGACATTCAGTGCATTTTCAAAACGTGTATGTATTCTGTATGTACAAGGCAAGAGGATAACTTAACCTTCTTCCTTAATAGTTCCCACTTTAGTCTGTATGGTGGTGTGTCAGGATTACAACACAGATGTGGAAATTAATGTTAAATATTTTCTAGCTCTCGCTTAATCTTCAACGTGTGTTTCTTCACCGTGTGTTTCTTCAACCTGTGTCTCCTCACCGTGTGTCCTGTCTGCAGGCGGTGCTGCTGGAGATCAGGCAGTGGATGGATGCTCACCCCCGGGAGGTGCTCATCCTCTCCTTCAGTCACTTCCTGGGCCTGAGCCCGGCGCTGCACACGCTGCTGATCAGCACCATCCGCAGCGTGTTCGCCTCCAAACTCTGCCCCAAAACGGTGAGACTACTCCTGCAGAGGTTAATCATGAAATCTGCATGCTTCTTCTGTCAATGACCTACAAAGTCAATGCATGGTTGCAAATAGACCCATAAAGAAAGGATGCAGAATTAATGTCCATGTTTTTCTGAGAGGAGACAACCCTCTTGGTGCTGCAAATGCATACAACAAGTGCTCGCTCTTTTGGTTACTATTTAATAAATATATTTGAATACCTTTTGGTCTATAGAGGACATTTTGTATACCCATTAAGCTGATTTGAGGTCATATGTGAAGTGTTTGTTATTTTAAACAATAATATCTTATAGATCTTTTGTGATTGTCGTTGGGTAAAGAGAACTTTTTTTGCACAGTGCATACCGAAAAAAAAGAAAAAGTACAATATAGTTAAGTAATAATGTCAATATAATAAAATAACAAAAGGTGGAAAAAAAGAAGAGAGAAGAAAGGATAATCTGGTCTATTAATAAAAATAAAAATAGAATAACAACAATCTTATTATCTTATATTCTTTAATAATATTTCAGGAGGTGTTGACCCTGCGTAACCTGTGGGCCCGGGGCCTCAGTGTGATCGTGTCCTATGAACACGTGCTCTCCTGCAGCAGCGCCGACCTCTGGCCTCACATCCCGTACTGGTGGGCCAACAAGTGCCGAGCCGAGGAGCTCATCCAGGAGTTCGAGAGCCGCAAGCAGAGCGGCAGGCCAGGTAAATAAAAACACGCTGGAAAGATATATTACTCTGGGGTAACGGCATCTATAAATACTCAAGTTAAGGTTCATTAAACTGTGGATTTCCTACTGTTAACAAACAATGCCAGGGTAATTAAGAGTGGGAATGAATCACACTCATTTCTTTATGGGGTTTCAGAAAAATGTCTCTTTTTAAAATACAATAAATAGAAAACGAAAATTATAAGCAAAAAGCACAATAATTAATACAATAAAATAGTTATATTTTATCATTATTTCTATGGTTATTATTACTGTATTTCTTTTATATTAATAATACAAAAATCCTTGATGTATTTTCATTTAAAAAAACAAGTAATTTGAACATTTTATAATAACAATTAACTTGTGTGGAGGGTGTTTTTATTTATTTAATTGAATTGTTTGTTTTGTAAGGGAACTGTATGTGTGTACTTTTCATGTGGTATGTATGTGTTTTTGTATGTGCCAACTTGGCCCACAAATTTGTCATTTTGATTTCCATACTGTATGTTTCAGGGGGTTTCTTCGTCACAGGCATGAACCTGACGGAGGACCTGAAGTACATCTGCACCCACCCCACAGAGTCCCTGAAGGACCTGGTGGTGTCCACCTACCCCCCCCTACTCAGCTGGGTGCAGCAGCAGAGCCCCGGCTGTGGGGGGGGCTCGCTCAACATCATCGCCGGAGACTTCGTCACCGAGAGCGGCTTCGTGCCCACCGTCGTCTCTCTGAACGAGAAACTGCTGACACACTCCTCATGACTGCTCTCCAATAATTAAACACACACACACACTGGAAGAACCACGGCATGTTTAGTGGCAGAGAACGGACTTTCATTATTCTTTTCAATATAAAATGCACTGATAAGGAAGATGTATATTTTAGACTTTTTAATATTTCCACTTTTGTTTACATTCACTATTTATGCAAATGTCCTGAATCAGATTTCACGAGTCGGCAGAGTTTTATGTTACCAGAGCAATAATAGTAATAACAACAACGTAACTAATCTCACCTTTTACTTTTTAAGTAAGCACAAGCGATGTATTCAAGCAGCACATGTGATTGTAACGTAGGTCACACACTTTTATAACTCTGACGTGTCGGCAGCAGCAGCTAGGTATACTGTATTTATCCTCAGAGAACGTAGAGTAGACTACAGTCATGCAAAATGCATGGAAACGTATTTGCATGAACCCAACCTCTGACTGTTTTACTCACAAGCTGACTCAACAGGTGAGGCCTTGTTTTAAATAATGCTGCGCTGCTGTGCCTGTGGAGATGAGCTTTTCAAATAAACATGAGCGTTTTTAATCGAGTCCTTTTGTTTTATTTCATGACAATCAACCGTCAAAAATTCCCCTTGGGGATTAATAAAGCTTCTTTAATAATGTCCACATAAGCACATTAGTCACATGTTAGGACGTAACAACAGCATTTATGTAGAGCATGAATAAGTGAACGCTTCCTGCTGGTGATTTAAGACAGTCAGGAAATACTTGAGTTGCATTGGCAAAGTTTCTCTGTTCCTGTACTTGCTTCTGCTATTCGTATCATATCAGTGTACAATATATATAATGAGAATTACCAGCATATGTAAACGGGATACCAAGCTTCAGAGGACATGCATATAGGTGAAGCAGGTTCACAGCACTTTGTGTAGCTGAGTTTCAGTCAGCTGGTATACACATGAGTCTCTGTGGTCTTTCAGGTCTAACCACATTCCTGAAAAGCATCAAAGTGCTTTAATCTATTCTCTATTTTATGTTATTCTTGTCTACTCTATTTTTAATACCTATTTTATTGCATTATATTCCCTTATTCTCTTTTGTATTCTTTATTTTATAACTTCTAATCACTTTTGTACCCTCTGTTTGGTTATGTACTTTCTATTTTCTATGTTAAATTCCTCTATTTTATTATCTATTTTCTCGAATTTTCTAATGTCAATGTTATCTATCTGAACATGCACATGATGTTAGCCCCGCCCCTTCCTGACGTCATGGCCACGAGTTTGCGGAAGTGTAAACAGTGTTCAAAGACACACATTAATATTCCACAGAAACAGAACAGAGAGTCACGTGTTTCACCTGCAGAGGATTCTGCAACATCTGACATACCACCAGACGGCAGGAATGAGGAACCTCCTCCCCTTGTAGTGTGTGTCTGTGTGCGTGTCTGTGTGTGTTCGCGCGCGCGCGGGTGTGTGTGTGTGTGAGCGAGGTGGATCGGTTAAAGGGACCAGATAAAGGAAGTTATAACTTGTTTATTCCCGGTTTTTGAGTTTCTCCTGCAGTCATGATTAAGATGAGCTGCAGCCCGGACTGGATGTCCTCTCTCCCGGAGGAGCTGTGGGACACGCCGCTCACGGAGCTCGCCATACCGGGTAAATATTTCACATTATGCTGGGGGTAGTAATAATACAAGTATATCACTGTTTTTATTGTGTTGTGTCTTATGTTACTGTTGCATTGTTGAAGGAGTTTCGTTGCCATAACTACACTGTAGCTACTGTGCTAATGACAATAAAACCTTTGAGTTTGAATCTTGATATTTTATTCAAGTTAAAGCAGCGGTGCAAAGTAACTAAGTGGGCTACATTTACTCAAGTACTGTGGCCAGTGGTAGATAGTAACTAAGTACATTATTCAAGTACTGTAGCCAGTGGTGGATAGTAACTAAGTACATTTACTCAATTGTGGCCAGTGGCGTTTTTATATGTACAAAAGTGGTGGGGCACAAAAAACTCAGATGTCTATAAGCTTCTGCAGTGAGGTTCATGGCTGGTGAGGCACTGGCACTGACTCTTCAGGTTTACAAATATTATATTTTGACCTAAATCAAAATATAATATTATTTTCAAAAGCTTTTTTTGTTAGCTAATTTTAAACAGACAGTTCAACAAAAGGATACCCAAAAAATGTAATTTTATCATTTAAATATTGAATTGTTCTCTCTTAGTAAGATCCCATTTTCAATACAATTGCAGTCTTACCTTGACATGAAGATGAAGTCCATTTGCCTATCCTTCTGGACAAAAATCTCTATTACTTTTTTGTAAAAGTCCTCCTTATGTTCTTGTAGTTTCAAAAGTCTATCATAAATCTAATCTAATCAATAGATTTATGATTCGAAAATAATAAAAGTAGGGTAGACATGTGGATATTATCCGGCTGAACAAAACGTGCATTTATCTAACAGGTTTGTTTCCCACAGATCTTATTTGGAGCTATTTTCTAAAATCCTATGGAGAAATCTCATTGCTTTTTTGTCGAAGGAAGCCATGCGCAGCTTACTTCCGGGTTTTAGGACGCCTCACTGCAGCTCTCTCGTCTCCTCTTCACACACCACACTTTTCGCGGCACACGTACTTACAGCCAATCAGCTCTGAATGATGTGAGATGACGTATGGTGGGGATGGCAGCTCTATGCCCCTATGGTCATTATTTTTTTGCCACACACATTAAAGGGATAGTGGAAATGGAACCTCAAATAGTTTCGTTTTAACTTATATACAAGCATAATTACGTACCAAAACAATCACACCTGATTAAAAATATATAATAATTGCCTTACGCATGTTAGAAGCACTTTATTGCAGCTTCCCCGAAGTTTTTTAGAAACGAAATGTTCGACTCAGCCAAACCGGAAGTGACGAAAACTTAGAAAGACGATACGATAACAAACTATGGCGTCTATGCAGAATGAACGTGGAAGGGCAAATATACCAGACAAAGAAGAAGGATTGTACGAGGTATCCAGTGATGATAGCGAGTCAGAAACATCCTCTCGGCTTTCCTACGAAAATGTTGTTTTAGGAACTGAATCTGAATCCGGTTCAGTAAGCGACGATGGTGACAATATTGAGCCAGACGATGGACCATTACGTCCTTATTTGTTCGAGCCCGAGCCCGAGGTGATGGTTCACGGCATGGGCAATGGCGAGGATGACCAGGACCAGGCGCCAGATGATGCACCCCTACGCACAAATAATCTTGACTGGTAGGTCCCTAAGCATAGCTCACGCATCTTAAGATCACCTGTAGCCTTTACAAATATTAATCATTGTTAACCAGTTAAGCCCGAAGGTCCCCCCAGTGGACCCCTCCCACAGTTTTTTTTCTCTCACATGTCTCAGGGCTTCTTAACATTTATGAAACTATTAATGTTTCATACCCTTTTAAAGGTAAGAAACTCCGCTAACTGACAATAAGAACAATTGTTAGCTAGAAAAAACACAAGAGTAATACCAAGCCTTTGAATTAGCATTGAGCGAAACAATGCTAACTAATGCTAACGCTTTTTTACACACAACACACGGTAGAAATGCCCTTATTACTATCTTAACTGCACAAACAAGATATACGATTTAAAGCTGAGACTCCACAGATTCCACACATGTAATGTCATCACTGTAAGACCTCGAATTCCTGGAGCTATCAGCCAGAAAAGAGAAAGTAAACAACATCCGGTTCCAAAAATATTACAATAATTACGTCTTACCTTTTTTGATTTGTGATCAAAAGTTGTGTTCAACGGAATAAAAACAAATTTCACCCACTGACGACGAATGGCTGGGTTTCTTGGAAACGCATGCGTCGATACGCCATTCTCTGCATTTGCTATCGCACTACAGCCATACAAAACACATCTATTCACCATAATAAAGGTCGGCTATTCACATGCAAATGCTATTGAATGTCCGCCATTGTTTGTGCCCGTCTTCCTGAGCTCTCGTCATCACCCGAAGATTCCCGACGATTCCCGAAGTATTTCGTTTCATTGAGAGGGCGCAGTAAAATTGAAAATAAAATGAAACTAGGCGCATGAAATTAAAAAAAATTGTTTATTATGCTTCTTTTTAATAAAAATACATAAGTTAAACCCAAAATTCGCGGATTTCCACTATCCCTTTAAATAGGAAAATATTCTGAGCATGCGCAGTGTAGTTTTTATTGTCACCGTTCACTTAGACAGAGGGAGGGGCAGGATCGGGTTTTGTCCCACATGGCTCTAAACAGCTCAATAGGCACACACTGTAGACACTAATTAGAAGAACACAGACTAAAACAGCAATGTACAGACGAATCAGATGATTAAACATGATCTTAAAATATATTTTTTGCATTTTGTTTTAATCATTATTTGTAATACTTTCTGCTGACACTAGGTGGGGCTGTGCCCCACCTGCCCCTAATGACCAGTCGCCACTGGGTGGATAGTAACTAAGTACATTTGCTCAAGTACTATAGCCAGTGGTGGATAGTTACGAAGTACATTTACTCAAGTACTGTAACTAAGTACATTTACTTAAGTACTGTGGTCAGTGGTGGATAGTAACTAAGTACATTTGCTCAAGTACTGTAACTAAGTACATTTACTTAAGTACTGTGGTCAGTGGTGGATAGTTACGAAGTACATTTACTCAAGTACTGTAACTAAGTACATTTACTTAAGTACTGTGGTCAGTGGTGGATAGTTACGAAGTACATTTACTCAAGTACTGTAACTAAGTACATTTACTTAAGTATTGTAGCCAGTGGTGGATAGTAGTAACTAAGTACATTTACTCAAGTACTGTAGCCAGTGGTGGATAGTAGTAACTAAGTACATTTACTCAAGTACTGTAGCCAGTGGTGGATAGTAATTTAGTACATTTACTCAAGTACGGTACTTAGGTACCTTTTTGAGGGACTTGTACTGGTTTGGGGAGTAATGGATTACATGTAACTGGATTTTGTAATCAGGATTTAAAAAAATAGACCTATTCCCTTGCAGTTACATAAAATAAAATGTTTAATCAGATTACTTTTAAATGTTTTGAAATGGGGATTACAACCAGGATTACAATGTAACAGTACATTTTAAAGTAACAATGTAAATATTATTGGGAGACATAGAGCTTGATTATTATTTTTGGTTTAAATGTAGGCAGCTTTTTCCTATTCTGTAGGCGTATCCTATCAGAGGACACATTTCAATTTTTATTTCAGAGTTGACACAAGGGACTTTTAAATCTTAAACGATGATTAAAATGTGTTTCTGCAGGGAGCCATGATGCGATGAGTTACTGCCTCGACATCAACTCTCCGCTGGTCCCGTCTGAGTCCGACTGCTTCAGGATCCTCGACGGACTGTTCTACTGCTTCACCAGACCCACCATCTTCAAATGGGCCACAACACAGGTACTGTATCACGTGGGTTGATGCTGGGAAGTCAAAATAAATACAAAAACTATAATAATAATAATAATAATAATAATAAAAATGAATAATAATCATGCAGATGTATACAAATAATTATACAAATAATAATAAAACATATAATCATAATACAAAATAATAGAACAAATTATAATAATACAATTAATTAATAATAAAACTAGAAAATAATAAAATAATAACAAAAATAATAATAATACAGTTATAAAATAATAAAATAACAAAATAATAATAATAACAAAAATAATACAAATGAAAAACGTCACTTCGGTACGTTTAAACTAATTTACTTACCTTATCCTTTTTAGTTTGTTTCTTCAAAGTATTCACATATTGTAAAACCTAAATGAACTGAAATGCATGAAGTAAAATATAATAAAAAATGTATTTCCATGTTTTATGATTTGTTCCTTTTTGCAGGACAAAAGCATCGAGGAGCAGCTCTCCATGGGGATCCGATACTTCGATCTCCGCGTTGCACACAAACTCAAAGACCCCTCCAGCGACCTTTACTTCACGCACATCATTTACACACATCTAACCGTCCTGGTGAGTTTAATGATCTTATTGGTTAAACTCTCAGTTTAGGTTTTGATTCCAGATCCACATTAAAAGTTTCTCTTTTCAGGAAACGCTGTCCTCTGTTGCCTTGTGGCTGAACTCTCACCCGAAGGAGGTCGTTATTCTCGCCTGCAGCCACTTTGAGGGAATCAGCGACGAACTGCATCAGTCTTTTATCTTCTCCTTGAAGAAGATGTTCGGGTCGAAGCTCTGCCCCCACAAGGTGAGCTTCCCTTTCTACGGTGCCTCTCAAATGTGCAGAGAAAGCACCTGGAAACACATTTTAAAGCACTTTATAACTCCGAAAGTAAATGAAAAGCAAACCAACTAATATTATACAGTGTATCAGAGATTAGATCAATAACCAGCTCAGAGCATGTCATTAATTTCAGCATGGATGGATAATTGATCAGGCTAATGGATCATTTCAGGGCCTAACGACTAAAAGTAGAAGCAAAACCAACACAAACACATAACAAACGACCACTAAGAGACGCAGAGCTACATCGGAGACACAGAAAGACCTTGAGTGATGAGAAAACACCACACAGTGTATGTGCTGTCGAGGGGAAAATGGGAGAACGACAGCATTTTTTAAATATGGAGTGTTACGAAGAGAAATCCAGAATCTCCTTTGTAAAAACCTTTGAGTCCAATATGTGTCACCTTGTGTGAATCTACACTGTCCTGTTTTTCACTGAATTTCCCCACGGTCAATCTTATCTTCTGTCAACACATTAAAACCAGAATGTTGAACTCACATTTCAGTTATGGGAAGGTATGCAAATGAGCACATATTAAGAGAATGCCTCATTTGCATATTCAAACATAGCATTTCAGAAAACTCATTATACAAAATAGAATTATTCTTAAAGTCAGTAATGAACCGGGGAAGTTTCATGATGATGTCTGTTATTTTATTTTTTATTCACCTATAGTGTCTCCTCCTCAGGTTTCGGCCCCCACACTGCGCAGCCTCTGGGCCGCGGGGCAGCAGGTCATCCTCTCCTACGACTCCCAGCATCCATTGCGGCACCCGGAGCTGTGGCCGGACATCCCGTACTGGTGGGCCAATCAGTGCACAGCGAAGGAGGTCATCAGTTACCTGGACTCGAACAAAGAGCAAGGCCGCCCAGGTGAGGCTGGGAGAGAAACTCCCTCTGGAGAGAACAGGGATTTTAGCCTTTGCAGACCATTTACATGCACTAAAACCTATATTATACACTACAGAATCAGAACAGGTTTATTACCAGGTATAGGTTGACACGTACGAGGAATTTGACTTGATGTCGTGGTGCATACATAAAAGTAAAACAAAAATAAAAAACACAGATAGAGAACTATTTTAAGAAAACTGTAATAACATAAAAAAATATTTTAAATAATAGAAAATATAGTAAAATATAGCGGTATTTACATAGAAACATACATACATACAGGGCCGTCCCTGGCCAACATGAGGCCCCACGCTAGTGGAGCCTCGCAGCGGCGAAACCTTTCCGCGCCACACTAATTGCAGCGCATAGGTGCGCCGCATTTTCGGCTCAGTTGAGGCTCCCTCCGCAAGATGAGGCCCCCTCCGCAAGATGAGGCCCCCTCCGCAAGGTGAGGCCCCCTCCGCAAGATGAGGCCCCCCTCCGCAAGATGAGGCCCCCTCCGCAAGATGAGGCCCCCTCCGCAAGGTGAGGCTCCCTCCGCAAGATGAGGCCCCCTCCGCAAGATGAGGCCCCCTCCGCAAGATGAGGCCCCCTCCGCAAGATGAGGCCCCCTCCGCAAGATGAGGCCCCCTCCGCAAGGTGAGGCCCCCTCCGCAAGGTGAGGCCCCCTCCGCAAGGTGAGGCCCCCTCCGCAAGGTGAGGCTCCCTCCGCAAGGTGAGGCTCCCTCCGCAAGGTGAGGCCCCCTCCGCAAGGTGAGGCCCCCTCCGCAAGGTGAGGCCCCCTCCGCAAGGTGAGGCCCCCTCCGCAAGGTGAGGCCCCATGCAGTCTGCATGATCGGCCTGTAGGGAGGGACGGCCCTGCATACATATAACCAGCACGGCCCCTAGTAGACCCCCCACACACAACAGCACAGACTATAACACCTCTTGTTGTTAAATACCAACTATGTGCAATATATATACATATATATATATATATATATGCCGTTAAAAACTGTGCAATATATACCTGGCTGCTAAATCCTCAGAACTGTTACAGGATGTGTATTTTTGTAAAATGTCTAACTTTTTTTTTTTTGTTGCAAAATGTGTAATTCTTTTGTTATAATTATTTATTTTTTTACTTTTTATGCATGCTTAGGTAACATTAAGCTGTCTTTGGCTCTTTTCTGCTGTAACAATGTAAATTAGATCTATGATAGAAATAGAATGGAATAAAATATGGAATATAATTCGGCAGTAATACGAAAAGAAAACAGATATTGTGTACATTGTTTGCAGGAAAGGGAAACCCCCAAAAACACAACAGGGCCTCTTTAATGATGTTTTTCCTGCAGAGGGTTTCTTCGTCTGCGGCCTGAACCTGACGGCAGATCGGTGCTTCATCACGGAGAACCTGCGGCAGTCCCTGCGGACGATCACCTTCAGTAACTGGGAGTGTTTGCGGGGCTGGGTGGAGAAGCAGACCCCCGGCTCGGGCCCCCAGAGCCTCAACATCATCGCAGGAGACTTCGTGGGGCCCCTGCCTCTCTGCTCCCTCATCATCGCTCTCAACCAAAAACTTCTACGGAAGAAAAGCACCAGATAAAAAAACATTTTATTCGACTGGAAACTGATCCTTTATGATGTACAGCTTACCTCACTTCCTCTATTTTCTACTTGTATGGACATGTTTGTCTGCATTAAGAGTAGGAACGGTATTTTTTTAAACTTCTGTATCTATTACTTTCATTTAAGGGTTTGTTTTTTTTGCCAGAAAATGTTTGTTTTGGATATACAGCTCTAATATATGTTTACAAAATCATTCTTTTAGAAAATGTTCTAATTAAATATTGTATTATACTGTAAAATACACATAAACTTAAGAAAAAAAACCTTTGTATTCCATGTGAACTGACCCTGAATACCTAATTTCCTCTTTTTATACTGCATCTAGGTGAAGGAAATGTTAAGAATAATATCTGTAATATCATATTTCTGTATCTGTTGCTAGAAAACGTTATGTATGTTTTTATTATACAGCTCTAATGTGCAATATATCTACTAGAGCGTATGTCCTATTACAGAAACATATTAGTGAATATTTTATTATACTGTTTTGATGTACTGCATTACAAAAATATTAAGTTTTCCATGGAAGCCAGCACAGGCAGGTGAGAAAAATAAATTCTTAGGATCCATTTTCTGAGTCTGAAACAAAAGATTTGTCCAGTATTTTCAAAGGCTACAGCTCTAACATGCACTATTTAAAAAAAAAGACATTCTTTAACACAATTATATTGTTAAATATTTTTATTATACTGTACAATAAATACAGAACAAATACATTCAAGTACAATTTTCTAAAGAAGCTCTCGAGAGGCAAGTCTGATCTGGCTGGTTGTCTCTCTTGTCTTTATGTCTTAGGAACAGGTGAAAAATCAAATGTAACCAGGATATTAAATCCGTAAAAAATAGTTTTGCTCCCAGAGCCGCTATTTTTTCCAGTCAAAACAGTAGTTTCATGTATTCTTCTATTACCGGGAAAAAAACATGAACTCTTAGTATTTAACACATAGGGTAGTGGTGCACTCTGGTGACCAAAATGATAACGAAACATGATCCTGATGACTTTTCCCCCCACCTGTTTCACAAATGAAAAGTCAATAGGTTACGGCGGTCCTATGAGGGAAAGGGTCAGCGCCAAATACTGTCCTGAAGCTCACTCTCCCTTTATTGTTTCCCTCTTGCTTCTTTTGCATTTGTGTTGGAGCTGGAAGTCCCCCCCCTCTTTTATCTGCCTTTATCAGTGAACAGTTTCTTGTAGCGTCCATAAGCCGCGGCGCTAATGATGACGTTCACTACCGCCGAGCCGTCGTCTGCATCCACCGCCACGTCCTGCACCGTGGACTCCTTATACAGCCAGCTGAGGACAGAAACATCAGATATTCAACTCATTTATCCAGAAACAGTTAGAAATACAATCATAAGACGGAAGTTAGAGATAAGAGATAAGATAGTACTTTATTGATCCTAATTTGGGAAATGTTTGTGTTGCAGAAGCAAAAAAATACATGGCATTATACAATAAAAATGTAAATACAAGAAATAAACAAGAAAGTAGAAAATATACATGTTGAATTCACAAATTAACAATCTAATTCACATTAGATATGTGAAATAGGACAATGTAATCTGAAGCTTAATATTTGGGGCCCAGACACTAAGTTGAGAAATATATCTTACTAACACAGAGCAAATGTATTATACGGAAACATTTACTAGTTAAAAAACACCACATTGTACGTTATCTCTTACGACATCTGAAAAATGAAATATATTTCGCTATTACACTCAGCTGTATTATTATTATTACTAACTTGCTGAAATAGAGTCCAGAGCCTCTTTCAAGAAGAGATTGAAGGGCCATCTACTAATGACCATGTACCCTTGTGAGCTGTGAACCCTAATTGAATTTGATCTCATGCTTTGTACTGGTGGGTGTCTTGTGCACTCATCCTTGGCTGAGATTGATATTGATATTGGTGATGTCTTGAATGTTGTTGTATTGTTTTAAGTGTCGGACCCCAGGAAGAGTAGCTTTTGTCAAGAGCAAAAGCTAATGGGGATCCTTAATAAACATAAACATCTCTAAGCGGTTGACCAGTCACAACAGAGCCGGCCAGCTAACCAATCAGAGCAGACTGGGCTCTGGTTTCAGACAGAGGGTGAAAAGAGGTGCTGCAGCACAGGCAGTATGAGAGAAATAAAGAGCTTTTTGAAGACAGGTCACAGTAGAGACACTACATACTTATATGAACCTGAAAATGAGCAGAATTTGTCCTCTTTACACTATTCTTAAATAATCATCTCTCACCTTAACTGAGGAGAGCTGAGGTCGACTTTCAGATCTAAAATGTGTTTTCCCGTGGACTTCAGGATCTCCTCCTCCACCGCCACACTCAGCTGGTCGAGGCCTCGCTGCGTCAGAGCGGAGATGGGCAGCACGTCGGGCTCCAGGCACTCATAACTGACGGAAAATACTTTATTATTAGAGACAGTATTATCCTCAAGGTGACCGTATTCATTCAGAACACACACGAACCAAGGGGCAATAAACCGATGTATACCCATGAATGTAAACTTATGACAACTAATTGTTATGTCTCCAATAGTTATCTGGAGTCATTGTCTTAGTTTTTGGTATATTTTCTGTAAAGATGGTATTTAATATCCAGTTTGTGATGCAAGGAAACCTTAGTACTTACACTGAACAAAAATATAAACGCAACACTTTTGTTTTTGCTCCCATTTTTTATGAGAGGAACTCAAAGATCTAAAACATTTTCTATATACACACAATAACCATTTCAAGGCCACTCTGAAACGTGCATTTTTGCTTTATTGGGGGGGTCCGAAAACCAGTCAGTATCTGGTGTGAGGGGTAGAGGTAGGGTTAGGGTAATGTTGTGAATCGAGTGGCCTGTGTTTGTCGTCCATTACATACGCCTGCCCATACCATAACCCCACCACCACCATGGGCCACTCGATTCACAACAATACCCTAAACCTACCCCTACCCCTCACACCAGATACTGCCTGGTTTTCGGACCCCCCCAGACCCCCCCAATAAAGCAAAACTGCACGTTTCAGAGTGGCCTTTTATTGTGGCCAGCCTAAGGCACACCTGTGCAATAATCATGCTGTCTAATCAGCATCTTGATGCCACACCTGTGAGGTGGGATGGATTATCTCGGCAAAGGAGAAGTGCTCACTATCACAGATTCTTTCAGATTTGTGAACAATATTTGAGAGAAATGGTTATTTTGTGTAAATAGAAAATGTTTTAGAGCTTTGAGTTCATCTCATGAAAAATGGGAGCAAAAACAAAAGTGTTGCGTTTATATTTTTGTTCAGTGTAGATCTTATTGGCTTACAATTAGACAGTTATGTTTCCTTTCCTTTTTTTCTGCTTTTAAAAAAAAAAACTATTTTGCATCTTATTTTCAATTCTTAAAAGATCTTAAAAAGTGTTTGGATATCAGTTTTATTCTCTTACTTGTCAACAAGGTCGATTTTATTGTGCACTTCGATCATGGAGCTCATCAGCCGCTCGGGGGTCTGCAGGTTCTTCAAGACGCTCAGAACGTTCTGCTTCTGGTTCTCTGTCTCCGGGTGACTGATGTCTCTGACGTGCACCAACAGATCCTGCAGGAGACATTTAAAGGTCCCCTATTATACTGTTTTTCATCAATATATTATAGGTCTCAGATATATACAAACACCAAACAAATCATTGCAGCATTACCCATAATCCCCTCTGTTTCAGCCCTGTTTCCAAAGTGCTGATTCTCTGTCTGTTACTTTAGATGAAAATAAGGAGCCCCTCCCCACGCCCCTCTGAGAGAGATTTGGTTACAAAGAACACAATGGTGCTCTAGGAGGAGATTCAGGTGATAAGGTGGGGGGGGGGGGGGGGGGGGGGGGGGGGGGGGGGTTACCTTGGTTGGTGATTGGCTAATGGTTACACAAGACAAAAAAATCGTTATGACATCATAAAGTGGCCAAAATCTGATCAGCTCATTTTCAGACAGGTTTTTATAGAAATGGATCAAAAAGAGAGAGAATCTTTGTTCCTGAAACTTTCAGAGTCTCTTTCCACAGAGGGGACACATGTTGATGTAGAAGAGACATGAAGAAGAGGGGACACATGTTGATGTAGAAGAGACATGAAGAAGAGGGGACACATGTTGATGTAGAAGAGACATGAAGAAGAGGGGACACATGTTGATGTAGAAGAGACATGAGGAAGAGGGGACACATGTTGATGTAGAAGAGACATGAAGAAGAGGGGACACATGTTGATGTAGAAGAGACATGAAGAAGAGGGGACACATGTTGATGTAGAAGAGACATGAAGAAGAGGGGACACATGTTGATGTAGAGAGACATGAAGAAGAGGGGACACATGTTTGATGTAGAAGACACATGAAGAAGAGGGGACACATGTTGATGTAGAAGAGACAATGAAGAAGAGGGGACACATGTTGATGTAGAAGAGACATGAAGAAGAGGGGACACATGTTGATGTAGAAGAGACATGAAGAAGAGGGGACACATGTTGATGTAGAAGAGACATGAGGAAGAGGGGACACATGTTGATGTAGAAGAGACATGAAGAAGAGGGGACACATGTTGATGTAGAAGAGACATGAAGAAGAGGGGACACATGTTGATGTAGAAGAGACATGAAGAAGAGGGGACACATGTTGATGTAGAAGAGACATGAAGAAGAGGGGACACATGTTGATGTAGAAGAGACATGGAGAAGAGGGGACACATGTTGATGTAGAAGAGACATGAAGAAGTGGATTTTGCACAACAGGTGACCTTTAAAATAAAATAAATCACACTGCTTCTTCTCCTCTGACCCCTGGCTGGACTCTCACACCGAGTGCTTGATGTCGTCCAGCGTGGCGGAGAAGGAGTCGATGAGCAGGTGGGGCAGCTGCGACAGGAAGCCGATGGTGTCCACGTAGAGGACGGGCATCCTGCAGGGCAGCAGGCCGCCGTGCACCGTCACGTCCAGCGTGGCGAACAGCTGGTCTCTGGGCTGCAGACCCCTGTCCCCCGTCAGAGCCTTGATCAGGGTCGTCTTTCCTGCACACACCATGGAGGGAAAACGTTTATTTATATAGCTCTTTTCAACACAAGGCAAGTGCTTTACAAAAATGAAAGACATTAAGAGCATAAAACACATTAGAAACATTAAAAAGCAAAGATAATAAAACACGAATAACACAGGTACATGAATAAAAGTTACAGTGTAGTAAAAGTAGTAAGAGTTGTTTTCTTTTCAATTCCCAGAATTAGGATATTTAAACCTGTAATTCTAGTGCAATAACTACATTTATTTTACAAGATTAATTACATGTATTTATTTAAGTACATTATGTACATGTATTCTAGTCCGATAATTATTATTTATTCTAGTGAATCAATAATACATAATCAATTTATGTGCTATAATTATAGTTTTTTCCTTGTGCCTTAAATAACATTGTATTCTAGTGCATTGATTAGATATAGTCTATAGAAATTATTACATTTATTTTTGTGGAATTAAGGCAGTTTATTTTAGAGCATTAAAAACTGTCATTCAAGTGCAATAATTATATTTATTATATGTAATGCAATAATTATATTTATTCTAGTGCCATTATCTTTGAGTAATAATTCTAATTATTTAACCGATATTTGAGAACCTGTGTTGTCAGATGTTTATTTATGTATTTATTTAGCTGTTTCCCCGCGTCCATATTTCTCCTGTATTCTGTACACTGTAATGTATTCCCAAACAGAGCCTGCCTTTGTACATCCTCTCACCACAGTTGGTGTATCCGAGCACGGAGACGACGGGGAACTCTTTGTGTTTCCGCTGAGAGCGCAGCAGCTTCCTCTTCCTGCGGAGTTTCTCCAGAGCCAATCGGATCTTCATCTCTCTCTCCTTCAGCAGACGCTGCTGCACCTCCAGCAGAGTCTCTCCTGCAGGGGGGGGGGACATCCCAGAGTTCATCACTAACATCCAGACAGATGTGTGTGTGTGAGTGTGTGCGAGTGTTGGTGTGAGTGTGTGTGTGAGTATATGTTGGTGTGAGTGTTTGTGTGTGTGTGAGTGTTGGTGAGTGTGTGTGTTGTGTGAGTGTGTGTGTATGTGTGTGTTGATGTGTGTGTGAGTATGTGTGTGTGTTTTGGTGTGAGTGAGTGTGTATGTTGGTGTGACTGTTGGTGTGAGTGTGTGAGAGTGTGTGTGTTGGTGTGAGTGTGTGTGTGTGTGTGTGTGTGTGTGTGTGTGTGTGTGTATGAGTATATGTTGGTGGGAGTGTTGGTGTGAGTGTGTGTGTGAGTGTGTGTGTTGATGTGTGTGTGAGTATGTGAGTGTGTGTGTTGGTGTGAGTGTGTGTGTGACTGTTGGTGTGAGTGTGTGTGTGTGTGTGTGTGTGTGTGTGTGTGTGTGAGCCTCCATTCATCTCAGTGATGTTACCTGAGCCTCCGATGTATCTGGAGCCTCCGCCCTGCTGATCCAAGTTTGCCATTTCATTTCTCAGACGAGATCTGCCACCGTAAAATAAAGACCGATTAAATTACATTTCGGAAACAGAAACACTTAATTAAAAAAGGGACATTTTGAGTGTGAAATGTACCTTAACAAAGGGATTTCTGCCAGAGAGATCTGTAGCTTTGCCTCTTTAGTCCGGGCGTTGCAGCGGAAGATGTGCAGGACCACGGAGTATCTGTCGAACACCTTCACCCCCCACGCCTCCTCAAACTCCCGCTGTGTGGAGTCAAATGGCTTTTATTATCAATTCATCCGTCAAATGATTTACTTCATTCATTGTTTGGTCAGAAAATATTAAGAAATGCCAATCCCTTAAGTCAGAAAAACTCAATATTTACAAAGCAGATGCATACAACAAACATTACATGTCACTTGTTAGACGCTTTTATCCAAAACGACTTCCATACTCAATACTGTGGGCAATCCCCACAGGAGCAATTTGGGGTGAAGTGTCTTGCCCAGGGACACAACGACATGCTGACTGCAGTGGGGTTGGAACCTGTGACCCCCTGATCTCAACACCAAGGCTCTATCCACTGCGCCACACGCCTCCCAAACAAATAAGTGTTGATAATTTTCTGTAGATTGACTCATTAATTAGTTTAAAACTCTCAGCTCGTTGCAGTCAGGAAGAAGCTTTCCCTTAAAGACAGCAAGAGAAGCTGGTTAACAAAACAGTTTTACAACGTAGAAAAAATCTGATTTGATATTTATTATTTGGCTCCCACAGCGGAACTGCTTCTATAAAACAAATGAGTAAGAAACTGCAGAATTTAAATATGCTAATACTTTAAAATGTTGACTTATCATTGTAGCTTTAATATTCATTAAGTTGTTTATTCATTGCTCTTCAAGTAGGTTTTCCCATACAAGGAATTGCTTTGTTGTTTTTGTGCTTAACATAAAAACGGCTTTAAAAATCACATCAATTAAAGGGGACCTATCATGCAAAATGCCCTTTTTGATGTCTTTTATACATAACCATGTGTCCCCGGTGTGTCGGGGAACTCACGCAGCGTCAGAAAATAAAACCCTCTCTCTTTTCCTCCGTACCCAAACCTCTAAAAATGGGGAACAACGGAGCTGATCCAGATTTGAGTCCGATATGACGTAATATCTGAAATGTGGACCCACGGCCCAATCAGAAACGTTGCTATCAGAAACAATGCCCGACTGTTTTGGACGTAATATGGTCGGTGTTTACATTAGCATCGCTAACACTCAGAGCTAACCTGTACTGGAGAGCATGTGTGTGAAGAAGCAGGAAGTAAAAAGGAACTCACCTTGTGGTATAACCGGCGAGAGAGAAAGCCTTTCAGCTCCATACTGTTTCAGAGAGAATCCTTGATAATCCATGATATGGCGTTTCATCACGGCAGCATTTAGTTTAGACAGTAGCTGCCGGGTCCCGCATGAGCTCAGACCCCCCCTTTTTTTTATTATTTATTTTTTAAAGCTTTATACCCAAATCAGCACTTTTGAAACAGGAAGTGAAATAGAGGGATATGAGGCTTGGCTAGAATGGGTGATCTGTTTGGTATTTTGAGCAAAACACTTCATAGACATGTTTTTTATATATTTGTATATGTCTGAGACCTATGCTATTGCCTAAAAATAGCATCATAGGTGACCGTTAAATAAAAAATAGCAAAGAAATGTCACAAGACAAAGGTTAGAAAAGTACAATATATTTGAATTAAAATAAAAGAGCAGTGTTAGTGTTGTGCATGGATGTGAATGAGTGTGAGCAAAGGTTCACCTCCGCCCCAGGAGAGAGGCGCTCCACGTTCACAAACACGGCGTTGATTCCTGCTGTTCGTCTGATTTTGTCTGAGGAGGAAGTGAAAGCTATCAGATGTTTTACTTCCCAGATTTACAGAGCGTACAGAGGGAGCAGATGTTACCTGCCAGAAGCTGGAAGTTCCCTTTTCCAAATATCTTCTTCTTCTCTGGAGTTTTGGTGGAGAGGACGATCTTATCAACGACCCTCCAGTTTTCCAGCGTGTTCACCAGACCCTCGGCCTCCGCCATCATCAGCCCAGCTGCACAGAGAACAAGATCATACTAAAACCCCACAGTAGTACACTCAATGCTGTAGAGCAGTGCTTCTCAAAGTGTGGTCCGTGAGCGCCCCCTAGTGGTCCGTGAGTATATTGGTAACATTTCACATTTGAAATAAATAAATAAATTTCAGTTTTCCGCACTCTCGCGGGAATATCTCCACAATGGAGCGAGGTTAAGTTTCATGATATAGCCCAGCGCAACACCTTCATCACACATGTTGCCACTTGTTTGTACCATTTTCAGGCGATTTGTAATCTGTTCAAGAAAAACGATGTGTTTTTTGATATTTGTGGAGTTAGGTGGTCCGCGAGTGTTTTTTTATTGGTTAAGTGGTCCTTGGTATGAAAAAGTTTGAGAAACACTGCTGTAGAGATACAATTATTAGCTGTTAAATCAACATCTAAATCTATTCTGAGGTTTTCTTTGTTTTGGAAAAGGAAAATAAACATCTGGTTCTTCCAATGGGAATATTTCTGGTTTCTTTTACTCTTCCATCACAGTGAAAATAATATTTTTGAGAGATTATGGGAAATGTTTTGGCTTTGGGAAACACTGATACCATAGAGCAGTGGTTCTCAAATGGGGGTGCGCGGACCCCTAGGGGTACGTTGGAGTACTGCAGGGGGTACGTGAGATTTATTTTATGTTAATGAAAAAAACAACGAATTTTGAGCAGTGTGGGTTTTATATTAACAGTTACACATATTTCAAAACGTGAAGTGTAATAACTGCAGTGGCCTTCCTGTCACTGAGAATAACAAAGCCCATGTGTCTCACTACATTGTAAGTACAACTTATTAAAAAGATCAGTTCAATGCAACTAATGTCGTCTTAGTTATTGCATTATGTTAAAATTGGTTTTCCATGAATGTAGTGATGGATTGTAAACACTATATCTGTAAAGCGTCTTTGAGCACCTGTAAAAGCGCTAACAAAATTAATCTATTATTATTATTTGAAATGTAGCATTTAAGTGTTTCTCAGTTACAAGGTTGTTGTTTTAATAAATCAGACACCGATGGTGCAGCACTGTGCTGTACCTCTTTATATAGGTACCCCCCCACTCTGTGAGTTACCTGTGGTCAGGTGCTGCTTCCTGCTCCCCCACTTCACATCAGGATGCACGATGAACACTTTGAGCTGCTGACCCGGAGCGAGGCCTGCAGGAGCGTAATCCAGGAACAGCTCCTCCACCTCCCCGTCATCCAGGAGATCATCTTCATCCCCCTCCTCCTCCTCCTCCTCCTCCTGCTGCTGACCTCTGACCCTGAACTCATCAGAGTCCCGCCCCCTGCAGGAGGAGGACAGTGAGAAGCCTCTGAACACAGAGGAGCTTCCTGCAGCTGCTCCCTGCACCTGAGAGGAGCTTCTGTGTCCTGTGTATGGAGGCAGATTTGACACACTTTATTAATCACACAATGGGAAAATCAGTCTGTGTGTGTGTGTGTGTGTGTGTGTGTGTGTGTGTGTGTGTGTGTGTGTGTGTGTGTGTGTGTGTGTGTGTGTGTGTGTGTGTGTGTGTGTGTGTGTAGCAACAAAACTCCCATTGAGTTATGCTGCTGAGAGGCTAAACGGGTCTCCTCACTTTGACTCACTGCAATAAAAGTCCGTGCTGTGGTTGTTGTTGTTGTTCTTGATGTTTAATGGAGACATAATAACATAAATAATCTTCTTTTCAGGACCCAAACATATCCTAGCTCACCCTCTTTGTCTTCCACATACGCCCAGCACACAACAGGTGGAGTAAATACCTTACACCACAGACAGGTGATAACTGCCGGAAGTGACCAATTATAACTGTGTGTCTTGTAAACAAACATTATAATAAACAATGGCAAAATAAGCATGTTGGGTCCTACACTTTGGCTATATATTTATACTGTAATGGTAGTAAGAGGAAATTAAGGGAACATCTTAAATAGGCCTATGCAGAAAAAGATAAAATAATACAGTATTTTTCAAATGTACTTATTTTGCTTTTGGTGGAAACAGGAGAAAGGTACATTTGAATATCAGATTTTCCACACATGCACAGGACTCATATATATTTGGTTTGAACTACATACATTGTTATTAGGGGTTTTACATTTACAAATGTCACATTTACACAGTGACCTGTATGGCATGTCCTTACCTGCAGCATGAAGCAGTGTGCACGCGGCTCGGTGTGCGCGAGGGGGTCCCTGCAGCAGAGGGAGGGGGGGCAGGCGGGAGAAGATCCTCCTCAGTGCTGTCATTATGACATTTTATACAGTCAACTTTATATATTCATATCTAAGTAACTCATAAACAAACTCACAGAAAACATGCTACTTCACAGCCATTGTATAGCATGCGCAGTAGGGGTGTTTCTTCTTCTATGTGGATGATAGTAACCTGCAGAGCCACACTGCCACGTGCTGGAGGAGGAAGGGTATTTCTGGTATCATTGTTTTTTTTTTGGGTTAATTAATAATTACAAATGTTTTAAAATGTTCACATAAGAAAATGTATTATTTGATAATAGTAGGATGTATTTATTTGGAAAAATATAATTGTATTGTTTTCTATGTATTTAACGAGAACCCTTAAACATCAACAACAACAACAATTATATGAAATTAAATAATATACATGCCAGAAAGATCCTGATGATTTATAAATAAGGCCTAACCCTTAATACATGTTTTTAACGATTTGTTATCATAGTTACAAAAAGTGTAGGTGTTATATTCAATATTAAAGTTCTGGTGGAGTAAATAATTACATTAATATCAGAATAAAAAGTCAATTAAAAACAATTTACTTTAGCTTTGGGCTCATTACATCCAATGCAAAGAAAGTGGGTAATAGTTGGAAAGTACAACACGAGTCAGAAATACATAATTTACTTTTTAGAATACTTTTAAGATTAACCTTTGGCAATTTATAAATAATTGTTGAAATAAAATATATTATCTTGATATATTTTGTAAATTGTTTTAAAATTCACTTTTTAGTTGTTGCAAAAATACACATTTGAAAGGATTAATATTTTGTCATTTGAATATCAGATGGAAGGTGTGCACGTTCATCTCGTGCATCATCACCATAATTATTACGCAGGCGCATGGGTGTGGCCGCGTGACGTCAAAACGAGTCAGACAGGTAGCCAGAGCTCCATATATAGCCTGTCCAGATGTATGGCGATGCACACTGAGAGGGATTTACAGGTGTTTCTGTGAGTGAACATACATGCTAGCCGTTTATTATATTCATATTATCAAAGGTATTTATTTAAAGCGGAGCTCAGGAATGGACCAACAAGCTGCAGCATGCTGACACAACCTCACACTGAGGGAAGGTGTGTGTGTATCACCTGACAATAGAGAAGTGAATTTTCCTGTTGGGAATGGACCTTACTGCGTTTTCCAGAGTAAAGAGGAAACTATTTCCGGAGAGGTTTCTGGTGTTTATCTCCCGGACTGTCCCTCAGAGGGAGAGGTCAGCTGCGGGCTGGAGGACTCTGTTCCTGCTGCTGCTGCTGCCTGTCTGCTGCTGCGGGGGTGAGCTCTCTAATATATATATTCAGAGGTGGGAAGTAACTAAGATGTTCCTATACTCCACTGTATGTTGAGTTACTTGTACTTTGAGTTTTTCACTATTTTGCTACTTTTCTGAGGTAAAAAGTGTACTTTTACTCCACTAAGTGTATTTAATACTTTTAGTTACTTTACAGATGTGGATGAATGATGTGAAATATAATCAGCTCTTAAATCAGACTTTAGTTCCACCTGGAGTAAATTCACCAGCTACCCTGCAGTATACAAAGTCGTTCAAACTAGCTGCACCTTTACCAGCTTTGAGAACACTTTAATGATCAATCATTATAAAACACATCATATATATTATTCTGAAATGGACCAATCTGCACAATGACTACTTTTACTTTTGGTACTTTAAGTATATTTTGATGCTGATACTTTTGTACTTTTACATGAGTAACATTTTGAATACAGGACTTTTACTTGAAACAGAGTATTCCTACACTCTGGTACTTCTACTTTTACTCAAGTACAAGATCTGAGTACTTCTTCCACCTCTGATTATACTATATACCATATTATGTTATATTCATTTCATTTAATTTCAAACCTTTATTTATCCAGGTGAATCCCATTGAGATCATTGATCTCTTTTTCAAGGCAGACCTGCTCAAGTAGGTTCCACATGAAACATAAACAATATAGGCTAAACAGAACAACAAAAGGACATCTTACAGCATCATTACAGGGATTACAATTTACATAACTATCCACATGAACAGGTACCAACAGCTTCCGATTGAGTAACATCCAACCGAGCTTTAAAAACATTTACTGGCACCAGATTGCTCATTTTCCATTTCAATTGCAGACTATTCCATGACAGAGGAGCTGCGCATCTAAAAGCTGTCTTCCCTAAGACAGTCCTAGCAGTTGGCACATTTAATAAAACCACAGCATGTGATCTCAGGCAGTAGCCACTTACAATTCGCCGTGAGATCAGGGAGCAGATGTAGGATGGAAGTTTCCCTAACATGGCTTTGTATATAAAAATGTACCAGTGACTGAGCCTCCCAGTTAGCGAAGGCAAACCTGCCCTTGCATACAGGGTACAGTGATGGGTTAATACTTTGTTTTTCACAAAGTGCACTGTGATACGCAGCATCTAACTTAACCAGGTAATGGGCAGGTGCATTCATATACATCAAATCACCATAGTCCAGCAGGTAAAAAGGTCACAGAGACTTTTCCTGGCCTCAAGCGAGAAACAGGACTTGTTCCTGTAGAATAAACCTAGCCTAACCCTCAGTTTTTTAAGCAGGTTATTGACATGAAGTTTAAAAGTGAGACAATCATCAAGCTAGATACCAAGGTATTTATAACAGGTAACCACTTCAAGTTTTATTCCTTGCGTACAATATCTAAAACAGGCTCTGGTGTCTTTTTAGCTTTAGAAAAGAGCATTACCTTGGTTGGTGGTTGGTTGATAATATATTGTATTATGTTATGCTATATTATATTATATATAATTGTAATTTGTGTTATGTTTTACACATTCTCAAATGGAGCAACTGAAGTAAATTTCTTATGCTTGCCACCTTCACAACACTGACCAAAACACACTTCTTCAGACTGGCTTTTAATGTGTGAATTATGTTGTGTTGCTGTTTTAATATTTGTATTTTATTGTATTTCCTTTTTATCACCACTGTAAAGTATCTTTAAGCACCTGAAAAAGCGCTTAGAAATTAAATGTATTATTAATATTATTATTATTTCTCCTTATTCCCGACTCCCAGAGGAGGAGTGTGTGCTGGGTTTGGTGGGCCGTCCCGACCAATCTGCACAATTACTACTTTTACTTTTGGTACTTTAAATATATTTTGATGCCAATATTTTTGTACTTTACTTGAGTAACATTTTGATTGCAGGACTTTTACTTGTAACAGAGTATTCCTGCACTCTGGTTCTTCTACTCTTACTCAAGTACAAGATCTTAGTACTTTTCCCACCTCTGATTATAGTATTTTATATTATACTATATGATATTTAATAATTGTATTTTATGTTATTTCATTGTATCACTCCCACACATCAGAGACTGCACTGACCTTACAACCTTAAACAAACTTACAAAAACTCACCTCTTCAATCTGGCTTTGAATGTGTGATTGTTGTTGTTGTTGTTGTTGTTGTTGTTGTTGTATTGCTTGATTTTAATTTGACTTCAACTATATTTATTTGTTGTGCTTTTCTTTTCACTATCTCTGTAAAGCGACTTTGAGCACCTGTAGAAGCGCTTACAAAATAAATCTATTATTATTATATGTTTTACACATTCGCAAATGGAGCACCTGAAGTGAATTTCCCCCCAGGGATATTTATGATTTGTAATACTTTATCATTATCGCCCCCCCCCCCCCCCCCCCCACAGAGGAGGAGTGTGTACTGGGTTTGGTGGGCCGTCCCATCTCCCTCTCCTGTTTCCTCCCCCAGTTGTTGACCTCCGTGAACCTGTCCATCGCGTGGCGGCGGGGGAAGGAGGTGGTGCTGCGGTCGGTGTGGAGGGAGGATGGAGAGGTGGAGGAGTGGAGCGTCAGCAGGTTCTCCACCCCGGAGGACGCCTCGCTCTCGGGGAACTTCTCCCTGCAGCTGCCCAGCGTGGCAGCCTCGGAGAACAACACCCACTTCAGTCTGGTGGAAACCTCCGGGGGGAACAGCAGCTCGGAGCTGTGCAGCGTCTGTCTGCAGACTGCAGGTCAGTGACACTGTCTGTTGCGGCTATATTCCCATTGAATACGGCCGCTCTGAGGCTAAACTTCACTCATTGATGTGACGCGTATAAATAATCAAGTCTGTACTGAACTTGACGTTTCAAGGATAAACAAACAGAATCATACCGTCAACAAAAGATATCAGAGCTAAACTCACCCCCTTTGTCCTGCTACCAAACCTCCACATACACAGGTGCCCTAAATACCATTAACCACACCCATGTGACAATCACATGGGTGTGTGGTGTTAACAAATAATGAAGATAATATAACTATAAACACAGGCTAACACAGAATTTTGGCTCCTACACTGTCAGATACAGCAATATCAATATCTGGCTCTTTTTAACACTGGAAATCCTGCACAACAATCTCTGCTCCACACTCTTTTGAAATCTGCACAGCTCTCCACTTTCATTAAAGCATATTGTTTTTTATTTCACTCGATTTTTTACATTTATCACATTACACAAACACAACTGAACATTTCCCAAGATTAGACATATGGCAGATTACAAAATAATGTAAAGTGTGCAGTTACTAGACATCAGTTTAAAGTACAAAATAAGAATATAATTACATTTGCAAATTAACAAATTCATCAAAAATAGAATAAAAGCACATCCCAGTTTCTTACATATTTATTTTTAGTATTAATATTGTTGTTATTTTATCAGTCACAATCGTTTTTAAAATAGCTTTTATAATAGTCTTTCAAACTAAAAAGTATTATTATTTCTGTGTCTTTGTATGCACCATTAACACCAAAGCAAATTCCTCGTAAACCTCCTTAATAAAACCTAATAATAAAACCGATTCTGATTCTACAAGTTAGGATTATTTCAGTGTTCATGATTAAAGATGTCTCCTTCTCACCAAAACGTATCCTATACCGCTGATTAAAACCAATTAAATGACTGCGTAAAAAAATTGGTGTTTCTCCAATGGACACATGCAGGAATGCTACAAGCTAAAAGGCTAACAGTTGCTCATGTAAAAGTAAATAGTCTTTTTTTATTCGTCATGTATACTTACCTACTGTTAGGACTTAAGGATATGTCCTCAAGAAGATTGCATGTACTGGTCATGGGTTATATCTGGAATATTTTCCTCAAAATGAATTCTAATAAATAAATATTAGTCACAAAAATCAGTCACAAATAATGAAAAATTGTTGTTGTTGTAAGTTTCCAAGTATATATATATATATATATATATATATATATATATATATATAACATGGATCCGGTAGACATTTTAATCCAGCAATGTGACATATAAAGAGCAGCTAAGTGTGTGTGTGTGTGTGTTTGCAGCCAGTTTCAGCACCCCCCTGCTGCAGAGGGAGGAGTCAAAGCATGGAGGGGGGGAGGCGGTGTTTTCCTGTGAGTCCAGCGGGGGTTTCCCTGCACCCACTCTGTCCTGGCTCATCAACAACAAGGAGTACTCCCCCCCGGGCGCCGTGACCACCATCACTACACCCCTCCCCGACACCCAGCTGTTCAACATCAGCAGCCGCCTCACCGTCAACCTCTCCAAAGACGTCGGCGTCACCTGCATCGTGGAGAACCCCAAACTCAACGAGACCCTCTCCTCCAGCTCCTGTGAGTCGACTTTAACGGCAGAAAGTCATTCAGAAACTAAGTTAGAGGACAAGCAAGCAATTAATGGTTCTAATATCAGATGTTGAGGCCCAACAATCTTGTAAATGACCAGATTTTTGTCATTCATAGCCTCTTGTAATTACAGAAAGTCAAACTAAAACTGCCTCTGGGGCACCAGTAAACGTCTCTCAAGCAAGAAGAATTCAGGTTCAGGTTATTTATTTGTACCCGTAGGTAGATTTAGTTTGCAGATCAAAAGACAAGGGATCCATCCTGACACGCATTCTAAAAACAACAGACACATCTCTAATAAAAGTACACACTGCTCAGGTGTCACATCTAAACACATTTAAAAAACAATTGTACAAACATTGGCATTCAAAGTTAATAAATAAATACTGCTTGGTTCTACACTTTGGGACAACTAACCTCCTGAACACCATGGTGTACTTACCTGTTATTTGTTTTACTTATTGTGTTTTTATTATTAATAAGGTGTGCTTACTTTTAGATGTTTTAATATGTAAGTCTCTTTCCTGTATCGGCACTATCTGCTGTAGTTATAACGTACATTTCCCTGTTACGGGACAAATGAATGAATTCTGGTTTAGTGACCACATGTTAAGGTGTTTCTGTTTTCTGTGTGTTTTCAAAAGAGGTAGTAGTGGAGTATAAATAATTTGTAGTGGAGTATAAATAATTTGTTACTGTACTTAAGTACATTTTTCTGGTATCAGTACTTTACTCCACTACTTCTTTTTCTGACGACTTTTTACGTTTACTTCTTACATGTTGAACCCAAATACCTGTACTTTCGACTTCTTACATGTTGAACACAAATACCTGAACTTTCGACTTCTTACATTTTCCAAACAGGCTGGTTCCTTTAGTTTGAATGTGTGTTTGGTGGTGTGATCATTATTATTTAGAGTCATTGCGTGCCTATTGATTTGAACACGATCCGTGTATCCATCATGTCCTGGTCTTCTCTAAAGAAGAGGGACCAATGGAAACGTTGCCGTTGTTCAGCATGGAAACATTCATTAGCTAACAATTTGCCTGTGTTATTTACTATGATGCTGCCTTGCTCTCAAGTTGACTCGTGCGTTCCGGAGCGACGCCTACGTGCGCTGAATCCTCTGACAGCGTCACAGTTTTTCATTGCCTTTAATGACTCTGTGCTTTCCACGTTAAATGACTCATGTGATGCCAGTGCTGAGGAGATTCTCAGCCTTTTTAATTCTACTTTCACGGATATTCTGGACCTGATCGCTCCATTCACGGCCAGACACCCTAAACCTGTGACTGAACCGTGGTTAACTGACTCTACCCGCGCCCTGAGACGCGCATGTAGACGAGCAGAGAGGAGATGGAAGAAGGATAAACTTCACGTCTCCTTGGGGATTCTAAGAGACGGTTTAAGTGAATATCGGAGGGCTGTTAAATGTGCAAAAACTCATTTTATTTCAAATCTTGTGTCCAAAAACAGAAATAGGCCCCAGTTCCTTTTTACCACTCTTAATTGTCTTTTAAATCCCTGTAACTCTCCCTGTGTTGTGCCATCACCTACTCTATGTGAGAAGTTCCTTTCATTTTTTAATGATAAAGTCTTGGCCATCAGATCTTCACCTCCTCCTCTCACCTTAGACCCAGCAGTGTCTCCTGTGTGCTCAGCTGTCTTCGAGCAGTTTGACCTGGTTTCACTGTCCGAGTTATCTGATGTGGTTAAAAAATTGAAACCTTCACAATACCTCTTTGACAGTATTCCTCCCAGACGTTTTTAATACTATTGGGTCATATATTTTAACTTTGATAAATATCTCTCTCACCTCAGGCTACGTTCCAACCTTTTTTAAACACGCTGTAGTGCAGCCTCTTATAAAAAAACAGAACCTTGATCATTCTGTTCTCTCCAACTTTAGACCTATTTCTAAGCTTCCCTTCCTGTCTAAAGTCCTAGAGAAAGTGGTTTAAGCGCAACTGCAGTCACACCTTGTTTTAAACTGCATATCAGAGAAGTTTCAGTCTGGTTTTAAATCACGCCACAGCACGGAAACTGCTCTTCTAAGAGTTTTGAATGATCTTTTTTTAACTGCTGATTCTGGGAATTCTGCTGTGCTTGTGCTTTTAGATTTGTCTGCTGCTTTTGACACCATTGACCCCCAAATTATTTTATCACGCCTTGAACTGTGTGTTGGTATTAAAGGTAACGTCCTAAAATGGTTTCAATCCTATCTGTCAGAAAAGACCTTTTCTGTGTATCTTGGCCAGTATTCTTCAGCTGCAGCCCCACTAGCATATGGGGTCCCACAAGGCTCTATCCTAGGCCCCATTTTCTTCAGTCTGTATTTACTACCTCTGGGGTCAATTTTTAAAAAGCATAACATTTCTTACCATTGCTTTGCAGATGATCTGCAGGTATACCTGCCTATAAAAGCAAATAAGGAATCTAGGATTGCCTTGCTTAGCTGTCTGAAAGACATAAAATCATGGATGGAAATCAACTTCTTGACTCTTAACGAAAACAAGACAGAGATTATAATATTTGGACAGTCTGAACTCCTGGATGGCTTTAATAGTGTACTCGGCCCCTTAGCCTCCTACAGCCGTCCCTCTGTCAGAAATCTTGGAGTCATCTTTGACAACTGTTTTAAATTTGATAAACAGATAAGCTCAGTTGTCAAGACAAGCTTCTTCCAGCTGCGGCTTCTGGGGAAGGTAAAAGCCTATCTTCCTAGTAAGGAATTTGAACAGCTAATCCACTTATTTATAATGTCTCGTTTAGACTATTGTAACTCCCTCTATATTGGTGTTGACAAGTGTTTGATCCGTTGCCTGCAGCTGGTCCAAAATGCGGCTGCACGCCTTCTTACTGGGAAGAGACGTTATGACCACATCAGTTACAGGATCCAGTTCAAGTACTTACTTGTTGTTTTTAAATCATTGCATGGACTGGCACCACATTATCTGTCTGAGTTGTTGCACCGCCATGCTCCAGCTAGAGCATTGCGCTCAGCTCAGGAGAATATGTTGGTGGTTCCTCGGAGCAGGAAAAAAAACCGAGGGGACAGGGCTTTCAGTGTTGCAGCTCCCAGACTGTGGAACAGCCTCCCAGCACATATCCGGACTGCTGAGTCTATTGAACTTTTTAAATCGCAGCTAAAAACTCACCTCTTTGCACTGGCTTTTAATACTAGTTGAACATTACATTTTTATATTTGTATGTGTTTTTTTTATTATATGTTTCTAGTTATTGTGCTTTTTATTATGTTTTTAATTCTCCCATTGTGTTATTTAATATTGTAGTTACTGCCTGTACAGCACTTTGGTCAACTGAAGGTTGTTTTAAATGTGCTATATAAATAAATAAAGATTGAGATTGAACAATGACATTATTGTTCTATTAATATAAAGGGAGGTCAGTTACTCTTTAAAACAGCTGGTAGTTATGGGTACTTTTTACTTAAAGTGGACTTATCATGCTATATTTGAATAATCTGTATCAGCTCCGTTGCAGCCCCGTTTTTAGAGATTTGGGTATGGAGGAAAAGAGAGAGGGTTGTGTTTTCTGACACTTGGTGAGTTCCCTGACACACCGGTGACACATATTCATGTATAAAAGACGTACAAAAGTGCATTTTGCATGATAGGTCCCATTTTAAAGGTAGGGTAGGTAAGAATGGAGAAACCAGCTCGAGTGCGCTAGAATTTGAAAGTACGCAGCTGAAAAAAATCTGCCCCTTCCTTCCATGGATGTATAATAAGAACTGGATACAGGAGGCGGGGTCTCGTTCTTTCCTATGAGATCATTGGCGCATGAGGACAAAATGGCCCAACTTTTGAGAGAGCGAAACGTCACAAATTACCCATCATGCCTAGCTGTCAGAGCAGAAGAACCATGGATGTATAATAAGAACTGGATACAGCGTGGGAGACGGGGTCTCGTTCTTTCCTACAGTATGAGAGCTGCTCATTGGCGCATGAATGCAAAATGGCCCAACTTTTGAGAGAGCGAAACGTCACAGATTACCATTCATGCCTGGTTTGAGCATGCGCAGTTGAGTTGCCCCTTAAACCCCGTCCCCCGAGCTCCCACTCTTGGCTCACTAGAATGAATGGAGAGAGAAAATAAATCTATATTCGGCTTTTAGTGCATTTTACAACTTTAAGGACTTAATGATTCTAATAAGGGCTATACAATAGTTCATAATGGGTAGTTTATTTAGTTAAAAAAAAAATATCCGCTGATTTACAGACGTCTCTTTCCCGATGTTAGTCAATGGGAAAAAGTTGTTTTGGTCCGGGTGACGTCACGGGCTGATACGGAAGTTGTAGTACCGCCATTTGGACACAGCGAATATTTTCATCAGAGTCCGGCGCACTTCCTGGGGGCTTGCTTCTTTCAGACTTCCTTACAGAGCCCCTCCTCCAACACACACAAACGCGCATGACCAATGAGGGCACGAGATAAGTTTGTGCACGAGATGAAGGCTAACAGGCAGGTAGGCCATCCAGTTATTTTAGCCGGCTAAAATAATTAGTCGTGCTTTTTACAGCGCCACAGCTTCCACAGATGACATTTTTGTATGTATTTATTGTCCAAGCATTTAATATATTCATTGCTATCGGGATGTTACGAGCATTCCATGGAATATAACAAAAAGTGTTTCTGAAGTGAATTACCTACCCCACCTTTAAGTACATTTTCAAGCCCATATTTCTTTACTTTTACTTGAGTAAAGAAGTTTAGTCAGTACTTCTACTTTTACCAGAGTAAACACGAGTATCTGTACTTCTACTTGAGTAAAGGATGTGTGTACCTTTGCCCTCTCTGTGTGTTTTCAGACTCTGTGAATCGCAGCACGGTGCACAGCCGGGCCTCGGAGGCGATGTGGATCTTCAGCACAGCGCTGTGTGTGGTGGTCGGGGTGTTGGTGCTGACGGGGGTCGCCTACCAGATCCACCTGGACCGCACCCACAAGAGGAAGAAGCACGACTTCCAGAAGCTGCAGTCCAGAGGTAGACCTGTTTCTGCTGCTTTCACTGATCACATATGGAAAATCCCAGTTTCTCAGATAGATGGATGGATAGATGGATAGATAGATAGATAGATAGATGGATAGATGGATAGATAGATGGATGGATAGATGGATGGATAGATGGATAGATAGATGGATAGATGGATAGATAGATGGATGGATGGATAGATGGATAGATAAATGGATAGATGGATAGATAGATAGATAGATAGGTACTTTATTGATCCCAATTTGGGAAATGTTTGCATTGCAGCAATGTACATAAGAGAAATTAAGACACTAGAAATAAACAATCCAAAATATTTCTGAAATAGAAATAAAATAGCATAAAACAGAGGCCAAGGTTATATCTCTAAATGTCCAAAGATATTCACTTTAATATGTTAAACAAAACAGAGAAGAAGTAGAAAGTCTCAATTTTTTAGAGGCTGAAACAGCATTTAAAGACTTTAATGCAAAATTCATTCAAACACTAATTGATTGTCAAAATATTTTTTTTCATAAATGTCAAACCAGTTTCAGAATTCTGACTTTTTCTCAGACAGGATTAAAATATATTCACTTTTGGTCAGATCTCAAAGTGTCTGTGCCGTAAACGTAAATAAATTAAAGTGAAATGCCCTCAAAGGATGTATAAAATGTCAGAAAAATATTTGATAAATGTCCAGAATGTAAGTGAAAAGTGAATTTATGCAAGCAGACCTTTTATTTGTGTATGAAAGTATTTCACTTCACCAAAAGACAGCATTGAAAGACAGCTCTGCAGGAAAAATGTATTTAAATATTATTCGACTATCAGAAGATAATCTTTGAAAAGTAAACTCAGTGAAGCACCTTTAAAAAATCTGTAAAAGTTCTAGTCATTTTTTCTGATGAAAGCACAAAAATATGTGAAATGTTTTCAAAGTTTATGAAAAAGCCAGAAAAAGTGGATGTAAATGTCAAGAATGTTATCAAATAGTTAATAAATGCTATTTTGAGGCCTATTTGTTATTTATTTCCGCGACGCTCAATCTTCACATTTACAAGGCTGGAAAAAGTACTTTAAGAATTTCTTGCTAGAATAAAACTTTTTTTATCAATTATCAAAATAGTTGGAATAGTTGGAATTCAGGCTTTTTCCTTCGGGCCGGAGGTTAGTTGTCCCAAAGAGTAGAACGAAGCGGTATAAAAACAGTTTTATCCCAGCAGCTATTGCACAAATTAACACATCATAGGAGTGTCTCACAGATGCCTATTTTTATTTATTTATTTAATTATGAATTTTGAATGTCCATGTTTGTACTAGTGTTTTCCTTCTTAAAATGTTTTTTAAATATTTTGAGATTTGGTTGAGCAGGGTATACTTGTACTTTTTACTCGTCCTTTTATTAGAGATGTGTCCGTTGTTTGTTTTTAGTGTCCCTTGTCTTTTTCTTTGCAAACAAAATCTACCTACAGTACGGGTACAAATAAATAAACAACCTGAACCTGAACTTTTTATTCGTAACATTTGACTTTGTCAGGGAAATGAAATAATGAGATCAATATTTCAGATATATCTCAAACATCTACGTTTCCAAAATAAAAATCTAAACGGTGATCGCTACTTCAGTCAGAGAAAGGTTTTATTTTAAATATGAAGATATGATATCTCTGCAGGGATGTGTGTATTTATTGGTTTTAATGTGTTTTTTGTCAGGATATAAAAGAAGAAGTCCGGACATAGAGGAGGAGGAGGAGGAGAAGGAGCCGATGAAGCCGGAAAGAAAGGAGAGCGAGGTTTAAGGAGCCGTTCACTGACGGCACTGATGTGTATATGTATTTGTTACCCTGGTTCACCTTTTCAATGTTAATACATCTGGTAGGTTTTTAAAAATGAAGCTATGAAAACAGTCTTTATTAGAAAACACTGTCTGTTACAAGCTTTATTAAGAGGCTCCATTTATTCGTATCTTTTTTTTTTTATGAGATAGTTGTTGTTTTTTCTGGTACATTTTTACATGTTTTTTGTTGTCTTTTTGTATTTGACAAAATGTTTTTCTTAACTTTTAATATTTGTTTCTCCCTGTTTTAATGTCTTGATTTCATACTGTGTGTGTGTGTGTGTGTGTGTGTGTGTGTGTGTGTGTGAATAAAATAAAAGGACAATACAACTTTTTGTTTTTTAGATTTATTTTACAGCATGCGTATATTTTCTTTTTACATTTGAAATATCTAGTGTGGCAATCAATACATCATTTAATCTGCAAACAAGGGACAACTGATTAATTTACAATGAAATGAATGACATTTTGCAGATTGTCACATTAAAAAAGCTATAAAATGAAAATGTTCACTTTTACAATATTCTGCTTACAAAAACTATCCAAATGTTTGTTATTTGAACTCATTTGAGCCCCAGCCATCACACTGAATAATCACATCTTAAGAACAGAGCTCCTCTCTTTGATCTGGATCTCTAGTTCAACAGTGAGACGTTAGATTTGCAGCAGTGTTTGTGTCTCTGTCTCTTCGATCAGCTGTTTCCTCGCTGCACAGAGGTCACTGAGTAGAGGTCGTTTCGACGCTGAGCCGTGATCGGGATCTGCTGCCTGACGTCGGCTAAATACTGCAGGTCTGAGATCAGAAGATAGAATCAGTGACTCGCTTTTTCATAACACCCAAAATAAAGAGCAGGCAACTTGGTGTACAGCAACAGTGTTGGAGGTTGTGTGGGAACATGGAGGCTGACCACTCACACATTTTCTGGAACTGTACAAAGATAAGGTCATATTGGGAGAAGGTTAATGCAGTTGTCAACATTATAATGGCTTATGGAATCCCAAATACCTGCCCGGTGATGTATCTTGGGAACATTAAGGATGTTGTGATGGGAGGCGATCTATATTTGATTAAGGTTTTACTTGCAGCGAGTAAGAAAGCTGCCTATAACTAGGAATTGGCTTAATGTGAACGCTCCGACTCAGGAGCAGTGGCTGGAAATTGTTCAAGATATTTTTGTCATGGAAAAGTTGACATATGTTTTGAGAATCCAAGAGAATGCATTCAATAGGAAATGGGAAAAGTGGAATATTGACATGGTTGACACCAATGAGTAAGTGAATGACTAATTCAATCCTGTACAGCTGGGGTCGGCAACCCCTGGCACGCGGCACCGTAACCAGTGGCACACTAGGAATAAGTGGAATAAGTGTGCAAAATATTTAAATTGTATTTTCGGATCCTGAACGAGACCGCCGCCAGAGCGCGTCTCCCCGTTACCTGCAGAAGGAAGCCATGCACGCAACGCAGCCCCGCTCTCTTTAACTCCAGGCGACTTTCTGCCGCTTTCCTCCGTGGTGCAGTGCTGATTGTTTCACCACGGAGGAAAGCACTTCACAAATTGCAGTACCCATAAGGAGCTGTACAAATGCCGCAGTTTTTGCGTGGCTGTGTAGTTAGTTGAAAGCCCAGTGGCGATCTGCGCATCTCTCATCGAAATAATATGCTACAAAGGGGCGGACTGGCCATCTGTGTGTTGAACTTTCCTGTCGGCTCCCAGACCGTAGTCGAGGAGGACAGAAGCAACAAGCTTCAGGTTCAATAACCCACTTTAGCTTAAATGACTGGAGAGAGGCGAGCTCTTCTTGGGAGGCCGTTGCATTTATTTAGCTGTTCTTCTGTTTCACAAAATACATCACAGACCTGTTTTTCTGCTTCCTCGTTTCACTTCCAGAAACAAACACACGTTCCCTCACTGTCGCTCTACCATCCACAAACACACACATGCACAAGCCACACCCCTCTCTCTCTCTTAAAAGGGACAGCGATCTCATCTCACTCTGCATGACCCTAATATCATAACATGTGTGCTCTGGAGAATCACAGAACGGACCTTATTATTATGCCGTTCAAACCAATTATTTAAAGGTGTTTGTTAAATTCGGCATCATGTAAGTTGCTGACAGGTCTACACACTGCTTTCCCGCAGCGAGGCTCCCCCGCCCTCCTGCTGATAGTTGACGAGCGTCAAGCTCCTCAACCCCCCCCTCCATAATTCTCGATCGTTGGCACGCTGATAACATTTTTTTTTTTAAATGGCACGACATATCAAAAAGGTTGCCGACCCCTGCTGTACAGTATGTGTGAATATTGAAGGTCTTCAGACAACTTGTGCTTTATTTGACTACTGATTTGTGTGCATTATGTTTTGTTGTTCTGTTATTATTGTTGTGAAAACTCAATAAAAGCATAAGTGTAAAAAAAGAAGGAAAAAGATAGAATCAGGACAACTTATAACGAATTTAAAAAAAGACACCTGGGCGATCTAATGCAATCCAATACAACTGCCCTGCATTAAAGAGGCCCTATTCTGCTTTTAGTGCATGTCAATTGTCTGCTATGGCTAAGACAAATCATTTTCAAATATCATGCATCTCTTGATCTTACACTCACCAATGTCGGCGTAAATGACTTCCTCCTCTGTTCCAGCCTTTGAGATCACTTCTCCCCTGAAAAGACAAATTATAACAATCACAAGTCTGCAAAAATGAATCACAAAAAACAAAACAAAAGCGAACGAGTAGTTTCACATTAGTATACTATTTTATATATCTAATCCACCACTTTTCTTTTAAAATATTCTGCAGCCCTTTCATTCACACAGCTGTTCAGAGGGTAACATGTGTCTGTTTCTGTACCATGGGTTAACGACAGTGCTGTGTCCCCAGGCCACGTATGAAGAGGATTCGTCTCGAGCAGGAGACGCTGTGGCCACGTACAGCTGGTTATCCACCGCCCTGCAGGGGAAACAAAGAGAACTCTTAGATCATAAGGCTCTAAACTTAAAATGCGCCATTCAAATAGTATTAAAGTGAATTATCATCACATCATTGACATGCAATCACGGTCTCTGGTGACGCTTCTAATGCAGGACACATTAATTATGAAAGGATCCAACCCGGGCTCAGACTTATAGGAAACAACTATTGGAGGGTTTCCTTTTTTCTGGTTCTCTTCCTAATCTCACTCTCTATCGAATGTTATGTAGCCATGTCTGAAGTTTGGAGTCTTTACAGTCTCATGATCCCCTCCGATGAATATTAACCTGGCTCTCTGCAGCAGCTCCCAGTGAGCCGGACCCGTGGTCATGTTGAAAGCTCCGGGATACACCAGCAGCTGACAGCCTGAGGACACAAAAACAACCCATATTAACATTAAAGGGCCCCTATTATACTGTTTTTCATCAATATATTATAGGTCTCAGATATATACAAAACATGTCTCTGTTTGGCTCCAAACACCAAACAGATCATTGCAGCATTACCCATAATCCCCTCTGTTTCAGCCCTGTTTCAAAAGAGCTGATTCTCTGTCTGTTACTTTAGATAAAAATAAGGAGCCCCTCCCCACGCCCCTCTGAGAGATATTTGGTTACAAAGAACACAATGGTGCTCTAGGAGGACATTCAGGTGATAAGGTGTGGGGGGGGGGGGGGGGGTTAAAAAAGAGAGAATCTTTGTTCCTGAAACTGTGTTACATGTTGATGTAGAGAAGACATGAACAAGTGGATTTTGCATAATAGGTGACCTTTAAATTATCTGTAAAATCAGCCCAGATTTCAGTTTAATATCCACCTCTCACCTTGTCTGCTGTACAGCTGAGCCAGCTCTGCAAACCGGATATCGTAGCAGATCCCCACGCCCACTTTACAGAACGCTGAGGGAGAATCACAGAGTGAGGGGGTGGGAGGGTTACTTTAAAAATGTATTCTACTAAAATGACTAGTCACCGGAGTATGGTCACTTACGTGTTTCAAACATGGACAAAGTGTCTCCTGGACTCAGAGTCTCGGACTCCTGGAAACGGATTTTCCCCGGCACGTCGATGTCAAAGAGGTGAATCTGGAAGATATACATTACCTGCTGTGATCTCTGAGAACTAAACTATTCACAAACTAAGAACTGGAGTTGATGCTCACGTACCTTCCTGTGTTTCAGGATCATTTTCCCATCAGGCCCGAACACGATGCAGCTGTTATATAACTTCCCCCCGTCCTCCTCAGGGATCGATCCTAGTGAATGAGAGAATGCCTTTTACATTAATGTGCCGTTTACATACATTACAAAAGTTTGGATTATTATTAATTTGTACTACTGTAATTTCAAGTGCTTCCTGTCATGTTAGGGCTTAGCTTTCTTATCTTTTAAAGCGGCCCTGTTATGCATTTTGGGGTTTTCCCTTTCCTGTAGTGCGTGCTAAAGGTTTTTGTGCATGTAAATGGTCTGCAAAGGCTAAAATCCCCCCCCCCACCGTCTGAAACCTTCCATTGGAATCCTTTGTTTACTCCCTAAACATAGTGACATCTCTGTTACACTTGCGCTCCTATTGGCTAGCGCTCCAACACATTGTACGTGATAGGCTAAGGGGGAGGGACAACTCTAAGCAGGTTGACCAATCACAACAGAGCCGGCCAGCTAACCAATTAGAGCAGACTGGGCACTGGTTTCAGACAGAGGGTGAAAAGAGGTGCTGCAGCTCAGACAGTATGAGAACAATAAAGAGCTGTTAGGACATTAAAGCACGGAGACATGTCCCAGTAGAGACACTACATACTGATATACACCTGAAGACGAGCATCATAGAGCTCCTTCAAAATGTAAATTTACAGTGGATTAAAACCCGGTTCTCTCACCTCCCACCAGGTAGACCTGGTTCTCCCGGGCTGCCTCTGACAGAAGCTCTGTGGACTCTCCGGGGATCCTCTCTGCGTACTGAGAGAAGAAGCTGGTGCCGTACGGGGAATTAAAACACTCCTGGAACGATGACGGTAGAAAATATGGGTTTCAGTTTCACATTAGCAGCTTCTGGGACTGTAACTCACTGATATGTTGCATTAGTCCCACTCCTCACATAAATTAGACAAGCTATATCCTATTGTCCCCCCGAAAAGCCACAGATTACACTTCTCTAGGTTCCCTGTTTTGGAATGATCAGTATCTGGGTCTGAATATGACTTATGTAGCTATCATCCATTCTATTAATTGTAAATACTGCCATATTTTATTTTACTATATTTTTAAAGTTATTATAGTTTTCTTATAATAGTTCTCTATCTGTGTTTTTTTATTTTTGTTTTACTTTTATGTATGCACCACGACACCAAGTCAAATTCCTCGTACGTGTCAACCTACCTGGTAATAAACCCGTGTCTGATTCGGATTACATTGGTTATGAAATAAAACTCATATTGTCCATGTGTGATTGTCAGTGCACTGGATAATGGGACCATAGAGGTAAAGTATGGTAAATAATGACCCCACTCCCCCCCTCCTCACTGACCGGCAGCATCACCAGGTTGCTCCCCCGCCCGGCCGCCTCCTTCACCAGCCTCTTGGCTCGGCTCAGGTTATCAGCCTTCACCCCGCCCACCTGCAGCTGCACCACAGCCAGGCGAAACTCTGAGGAACACAAAATACACCGTGTTTATGTAACGACTTAATAACTTAATAAAAAAAAGGTCTGCCACATAAGACACATTTATTGTAATACATTTAGCATTACTTTCACTAACATGTGTCAGGGTTTAGCAGAGCAGGTTGAACAGACAAATGTTTTAAATTCCCTTTATTTCAAGACCAATCAGAGGACAAGACACAGCTGGGGAGGAAAACACAAGGACACCAGGTGACCAGAATCAGCAATCAGACAGGAGGGAAAACAGAGAGACAGGAAGTAGAAAAAGACATGAGACAGGGGGTGACACAAGATTTTCATCGGCATAACTACATTGTAGCTATTCGTATGACTAAATAAAGAACCTTGAAGACCAGACATTCCCCATGGTGCCGGTGCAATATCACAGCACCAGGGAGGGTAACCTGCAACCTGAACTGGCTTGAAAGAGAAACACAGAGAAATAGCAACAGCTTCAAAAGACAAAATGCAGCAAAGCGTTAAAGCATAACCAAAATACGGGCTGAGGTTTGAACTGAGCGGTTTGTATAGACTATTCTGCACAGTTTCCATTATATTCTGTCTATTATATTCTATTTTATTTTCTTGTACTATTTTATCTGTTTTATTGTGTTGCACTGTTGGAGGAGCCTGTGACCTAAGATGTTCATTGTCATAACTACACTGTAGCTGTGCACACATGACAATAGAAGCCTTGAAACTTGAACACCTTTCAAAATAAAACAGGAAGACAGAGCGTGAGCGATTTAATTTAATTAAACGATAATTTCTCCACTCTTAAATCCACCCTTTTTTTTACATGACATATAACAGTTATCTCAATTCTGTGTCTGTTTCTCTGCACTTTGCTGTTAAGTATTTCTGATTAACCATTACACAAATGCTAAACTGCAGATTGCACTTTGTACTTGCCCAGAGTATAACTTCAATGCTGCATTCATGTAAGTCACTGCGTCAATTAACATGAACAATATTGTAAATTCATTGCATGACACAACAATAATAATCTAATATAATGTATTAAAATTATTTTAGCAGTTGCACTTATGAGCAATTTAGCAAGGAGTTATTGAACAGTGTAGTGCAGTTTACCAACTTTCATAATTCAGTATATTACATGTATTGTAATTCGCTGTCTGCATTTGACTGTTTTATTACTTCTGATAATGCTAAACTGCATTTCGTTTTATTATACAACGAACATGTACTTTGTGCAAAGGGAATAAAGGGTGTGATATATAATAATGATAGAAGCACAACAACAACAACAAACATGTATACATAGGCTACTTTAAATATGTTGTCTAAATTAGCCAGAAACGCAGATTAACAGTCTGCATTTCTACACACGGTGGACAACACAAAGCTGTACATGCACTTAGATTAATGCACAACTTTAAATACGTTTAAATGAATACCATACTTACTGGACATCGCTTTAGCTAAAGTGGACATGGGTCTGTTTGGGTTCACAGTCCTGGGAGCAGACAGCCGGATGTGGTTCCGGATGACACTTTGAATGTCAAAATAAGAGTTGTTTGTTTTAGCGTGTTTGTTTTTAAACAACACACACTGATACAAACATTAATAATGATAGCATAGACATCTTAATTGATTGTCATTTCATCTTCAAATCGCCCTAATACTAATACTAAGGTTTATGTGGCGTTCACAACCTTTATTTTAAAGTCTAGTGGAGGAAGTGACGTCACTAGGGACTTGTCTTCCAATCGCATTTCTTTCATTGGTTCTTCTTCTTTGGTGTTTAGAGGCATTACCGCCCACTAGTGGAACCAAATAAACTGCCTTTGCAACATGTTCAGGATTTACCATTTTAAAAAGAACAATATGTTGTTTTTATGATGTGATTAATGTAATGCTTTATGTTATTATGGGCTGGATAAAAGCCAGTGTCAGTGGAGGTCCCGGGTCTTGTTGATGAGGCCGGTAACCAGAGATGGCAAAAGTATACACATCCTTTACTCAAGTAGAAGTACAGATACTCGTGTTTAAAATACTCTGGTAAAAATAGAAGTAGCCTACTGTCTAAACTTCTTTACTCAAGTAAAAGTAAAGAGGCTTTGAAATGTACTTAAGTAAAAAGTACCCATAACTAGCAGCTGCTTTAAAGAGTAACTGAGCTCCCTTTATATTAATAGAACAATAATGTCATTGTTAGCTAATTAATGTTTCAATGCTGAACAACGGCAACATGACAACGTTTTCATTGGTCCCTCTCCTACGGTGGCTGAGAGGTGCAATCGACAATTACAAAGTGTGAAACACTTTAACAAAGCTTGAGACAAATTGACATTTTATAAAACAAATTTACATATTCTAAAACAAAATCACATTATCAAAACACTTTTACCAAAGAAAAACAATTTAACATTAACAAAAACAAATTAACAAGATGCGAAACACTTTTACAAAGCTAGACACATATACAAATGCACATTCAGTACTCGTATGTGAGGTTGTGGGTGAGAGGTCGATATCGTGACGCTGACAGGGAGGTATCGAACATTACAAAGTAGGTGACTGTGTGGATGCCTGTTCAAAACATTGCAAACTTGAATAAATCATTTAAATTATATATTTGTGTCCGACTTTCATTTGTACATCGTTCTTAATGTGATAGTAGCTTTGATAGCTGTCCATACCTTCAGACAGCCTAAAAGTAAAACACAAGTTGTTTATTCACAGCCCGAAAGCAGCATCGAGATGACTGGATCATCTGAAGCACATGTTCACACGGATCACAGCTTGTCACTACTCACTGATGATCATGATCATCTGTGATCTGCTCCTTGATTGTCTCTAGGGCTAGGCTATATAAACCGGTGAAAATGTGAGATTCAATAGAGAAAGATCGGTTGTGCGTGAGTGAGTACTGAATGTGATAGAGTGTGTGTCCTTATGAGTGTGTTGTGTGGTAATTTTTTTAGTGAGTAGTTGTTTGCCTATGTGTGTAGCGCTACATATTAGAGAGGGCCAACAAACTATGGATCCAGACGTTGTGAAACAACTGATGGATTTTCATCCGCCATATCTATCATGATGGCTTGACTAGCAAATCAAGAGAAGAGCAGAGTCCTTCAGGATTAAAGGTAACCATTTCAGACATGTGGTCTTCAGAACATCATCTGCTGATAACACTGTCAATACATGTATAATTATGACATTTCAATACCAGATGGCGATCTACGCTACATATGCAGGAGGAAAAAAAACAGGGCTGAGCACCTTGCAAAAGTGGTCTTATCAGCTAAAGAAGCCAACATGCTCTTTGAAGAGTTCCGTTGTAGCCAAATTGGTGGACACGTTGGAACAGAAAAAACTCATCTGGCCATCATTCAAAGATTGTATTGGCCTGGCATGCGGAGGACATCCGCATGGGTGAGTTGAAAATAATGAGGTAAATTACACATTATGGTACAAAAGTGCAACACATAAAAGTTTATAGTGTGTTTTTTTGTTCAGATTGCTGAGTGTCCCCAGTGCCAATCCAAGAGGGCCAATATCAAGGAGAAGAAAGACTACAGTCCCATAGAGGTACAAGGAAACATTTGCAAACAGTTTCAGCTTTCAAAGATGTCAACAGAGATGTACTGCAATGCTCATGTGTATTTGTTCCATCTCAGGTAACAGAGCCTCTGGAGTTTGTCGGCATAGACCTAGTGGGTAAACTTCATGTAACCGATGGTGGCAACCAGTACATATGTGTAATGGTTGATTATTTCACCAAATGGGCAGAGGCATACCCACTTAAAAACAAAACAGCAGATGAGGTGACCAAGTGTATTATTGATTTATTTTACAAATTTGGTGCACCTAAAAGGCTGCTAACAGATCAAGGTGGGGAACTTTGTAATGAGGTACTACTTTGAAGAATTATGACTCCCCATTATGTAACTGCTGTGCTAACTTATTTCCTGTTTGTCCCAATGTTCACTTCAAGGTCAACTATAACCTTTGTGAGAGGCTGGGCATTCAGAGAAGCCTGTGCTCGCCTTACCATCCACAGACTAATGGGCTGGTGAAAAAACGAAATGGCACAATACAAAGGTATATTTTGTTCATCGAATAACTGTGATGCCCCTGTGGGGTCATCTGGAGAGGGTGTGGCTGTGCTGCATCCAGCCGCCTTGATTGCAGTAACTCAGGGCACCTGGGTCTGGTGCCCTGCAGCTATTTAAAGCCTCTCTGCTCCTCTCGGTCTTCCCTCTGCTTTTTCCTGCAGGCGCCCGGTTCTGTTGAGTATGCTATCAGTTATTTCAGTTGCTTCACTTTGTGCACCTCAACACCCTCACACATACATGTCCATGCAACCCTCACCCTGCATTTACACTACTGATACCACTGACGTCCACACCTCATACTTTGCACTTAATTAATTTGGTTGATTTGAATTGTTTGTTTAAACATATTTTGCTAACTGTTGATATGGTGTGTCTCCTCTTTGTTGTGTGTACTTTAGAAGAAAGTAAATTCATGTTTTCTTGTGATAATGTAATGTGGTTATAAAGATCATATATTACATTAGACACACAAAGATTGTATGTTATATAAATACTACACTGTGAAGATAACATTTACGTTTTGACATGATCAATATAAAATGTTGATCTTTGATCCACTTAAATGTCTGCTCTAGGATCCTGAGATCCATTGCTTCGCTGGTCTCCACCGTCTCCACCAACACATTTGGGGTTCGCGGGTAATTCCTAATTGCCTTGAGTAAATGTACGTGATGAAACACCATTTTCACTCTTGTGGTGATTTATCCCCATCTGAAAGGTATGTTACCGGTGAAGAAATTAAACTAAAAGTATTGCAATTGTTCTTTAATACTTCCAGAGTTCCCGCGAGCGTTTGGGGGAAATGTTAGTACGTTTTAGAGGAGATTAACCGTGTTTTGACTGACAAGTGCGGTTGGACAGGAATGTGTGTGTAAGCTAGGTTCCCGTTTTGTATTGGAGACAGGTACACAGCGGACCTTAGCGCTCGTGCCTCCATATTACAGTATGGCTGTAAAGCTAAAGGTGTGTACTTTATTGTGTATTTTGCTAATGTAATGTGTTCAATGCACTTTAGTGAATTTATTGCTGTTTATAGAAAATATGTGACAGTTGCAGTCATGTAGTTTCATATAGTGACACAGAAGAATTATTATAGTGTGTCATTATCAGAAAGTGATTAATGTAAAAAGGGTATATTTTATACTTCAAAGGAAATCTCATGTGAATATGTTTTTGTACAATTTCTGTGAATTGCTAATTTTGTATTGTCATGTGATGCAAAACACTTGAGTAAATGCACGTGATGAAACACCATTTTCACTCTTGTGGTGATTTCTCCCCATCTGAAAGGAAAGGGGTGTAACAGTGGCGGGTGAGCCAAAACGGTGGGACCAACTCCTCCAAGGGACCATGTTTGGTCTAAGAACCAAACAGTTGACCACGAAGTTCAGCCCATATTATCTGATGTTTGGGAGGGAGGCGAGGTGCCCCAGGAGTACAAAGTAAGATCTGATAATGTTGTCATCCTTTTTAATTATTTGTATTTCAAACATCTGTTTTCTCAACATTCTCATTCTGTGGCAGATAACGGAAGAGAGTCTGCAGCTTGGTGCAAAGGGAGGAAGTCTGCAGCTTGGTGCAAAGGGAGGAAGTCTTCCAGGGACTCCAGAAACAGGAGGCAGTTTTCGCAGAGGTCACAACTAACATGACAAAAAGCCAAGAAAAGATCCGCAAGAGGAAACGAGACCACAGGCAAGTGGACAATTTCCAAGAGGGTGATTTGGTTTTAAAACAAAAGGTTGGAACAAAGGAAAGGCGAAAGCTAGAAGCAGAAATGGTGGGACCATATAGGGTTTTACTAATTGAGGGGAAAGTAGCAGACCTTGGGACAGAAAAGGGGAAAAAGAGAATCAATATTGATAATTGAAAACACTATGTCCAGCCTGAGGAGAGGATCCCTGCCAAGTTAAAAAAAAGTGTTGGATCCTTCTCCTCTGGCTGGTCCACTGACCCCCACACCCACCTCCACACCCACCTCCATGACTGACTGCCAGGCACGAGGAGCATCCTCTGATGTAGAGACTTGTAAGTAAACTGACACAAAGTACACCTTAAAGTAAGCATTTCATTCATAACTAACATGCCTTTTTTTAATAGTAATCTGAGACATATGGGCAGGGAGGAGAAAAGAGACACTGGGCGCATACAAAATATACAGTGAAAATCTTTTGGTGTTGGCCCCGGGAAAGGAGTTGGAGGGAGAGGTAAGCGTACTGTCTATGAAAAATGTAAGTAGGCAAACTGATAATTCTCTAGAAAATGGGTTCAAATGATACTGGTGTATTTATAGATTGTGAATGCCTATCTGGCATGGATTGGGGCCAAAGCTGGGGTGTTCATTGTGGACTCCTACCTGATGACTTCCCTCTGGCAGGGAACCCACAAGGGAGGGTTAAGAAAGGTGAGTAGAGTACTAGAGATAAGTGTATATATGAACATATATATTATGTAGTGATGTATGTACAAATATTTTGCAGTTGGACAGATGCGGCAGCCGGAGCTGTCTGTGACGGGGCACACTGGACACTCATTGTAAGCAGATGTAAAGATTTAACAAGGTGAATAAAATGTAAGCTCTAATGTGTTTACTACACATATTCATGATTTTGGATTATATTAAGGGGGAGCAACACAAAGCCACAAATCATGTTCCTGGTTACTTCCGTTTTACTTGAATACCATTAGATTGTCCTTTGTGAACATGCAGCTCTTCTTGACTTAAAAAAGGATCTTACTTGGGCTTATCTACAAAACCCAATCCATCTGTTTCCTGTGTAGATCGCTGGTCTGGAAAAACAGACCTTCAGTTGGGAGATGGGCCTGCACGACCATCAGGATTCTACATCCTGTGGTGTGTTGGTTCTGAAGGTAACATTTAGTAATGTCTGTGTATATATAACTATCTGTAATTAACAAATATTACGAAGATACTTATTACAGAGCTTTTAAGCTTGCAGAGCAAATACTTCTGAAAACAAAGGTCCAGTATGCCGTAGGGATGGGAACGATTATTCGAAATTATTCAGGTACTCGAATATGAGTTATGCATATTTTTATTTTATTTGGTTGGAGTGCCTACATATTATCAAATGGAATAATTCAATGTATACGACAGTGCCATAGCTAAATGTGTTGGGTCTAAAAGTGTGTTTTGCTCCGCTCACCGGTCCCTCACAGCGGGCAGAGCTGCAGGTGCTGATCTCTCTCTCTCGCGTCCGGTTATACTTCACTCGCGTTTATGTCCAAATCCATCAGAAAACCAAGTTATGTTTTAAGCATGAAAGCTGTAGGCCTATAGCTGTTGTGACGACCCCTGCTTTACTGTCTCCTGTGTATGGCCCTTTTAATGTTCTCCCTCTGTTTGTGTCAGCGCTGTTTGAGGACACCTGGCTGCTGGCACCGGAGGATTTAAAGGCCTGAGCCAGAGTCTTGATCTCTCTCCCCGCAGAGGACCTGTTCTGGGAGAGCAGCTAATTATTTTGTCTTGCCTTTTTGTTTGGCTTTGGTCACATTGAATTTTGTTAAAATAAACATCTTTCATATATATATATATATATATATATATATATATATATATATATATATATATATATTCTTGTCCTTTCCACAAGTTTGTTATGGCTAAGAGCCATGACACTGTTCAAACTGTGATCACCAGTTCAATAAATTTGACAAATTCGACTTGGTTTCTATACTTATTTGAACATTTGAATGTATTTATTTATTTTTCAAAATTAATTGTTTTGTAAAAGAAATTCCCACATTTTTTTTTATAGGATATGTACGTTTTCGGTTTATCGGTTAAAATGATCACAGGACCTTCAGCTATGTGGACTACCTGCTGGTGGACTACCTGAGAGATATACAGCAGGAGAACACGCCGTCCACCGCGGAGAATAAACAGAAGGGCAACCATGACAATCATGCTCCGGGGTCTTCTTCGCTGCTTTTGGTGTATTTTGTGGCGGCAGCAGCGCCACTAATTACAGGCCTGGCATATGTACTACAGCGTTTCCAGCATTTCCAGCGGTCTAGTGTGAACGGACACATTAATGAATCGAATGCGTGTGAACGGAAGACTTTTTTGCGTTTGCGTATGCGTTTTACTGTATGCGTCCTCGTGGGGCCGGGGTCTAAGCCAAACTATATCCGGTCACAGAGATCTGCTATTTTAAAGTGAGGTTAACACATATCGACCCTAAATATAATCTATATTAAGAACGAGAAAAGTCTTAACATATATATCGTTTTTTGTAAACATATGACAAATGTGTGAGGGTGATGACGTCAGAGCATCGTCCTATGTGCCGGGTTTAGCCCCGGACAGCCCCAGCCCAATTTAACCCCTGGGTATTTGTGAGGGAGCTCCTATATGGCATTACCCCGCTGAAGCTCACCAAAGTTTAATATATTTCATAGTTCAAAGTTTTGTCAATTGTTTTGTTTATTGGTCAAATACTGGTTTCTGAGGAGTTTTACTGGAATGAAAGAACACAGAGTACAGAAGCAACAAAGCAGCATACTGCATTAAACCTGACCTTCACAGAGAGGTTGAAGTTCATGTGGAGAGGAGGCTTCAGTAGTCTGTCTGCACTCTGTTTAGTTGTGCTATCTTACAATCAATATAGTAAATGTGAGGTAAAGTGTGTCGCCAATGTAACCGGTTAGAACTCGAAGTTGCGATGAGGTCTTAAAATGTATGGAAAGGGTCTTAAAAAAGGTCTTAAAAGGTATTCAATTTGACTTCAGGATTCCTGCATATACCCTGCATTAAGGCCCATTGTAAATCAAGCCTGATCTGTCCTCAGAGCAGCAGATGCACACCTTTTAGTAAATCTGCCAAAAAGGCCACATTATTGACCCGAAAATGCACAAAACGCAGATTCTGACGCTCCTCACGGTCCTGACATCCTCCACGCGTTGACATCTTATGAAAGCAGCTACCGTTTTTAAACTATAGTTAGAAATGTAAGAGGTTTATTTCTCATTCAGAACAATGGAAAGGCTCTCCTTTCACAGCACATCTCCATGGAAACCTTTGATCCCTGGGCTCATGTACACAGATGTTTGATAACGTCGTCACCGTGGTAACCTTTGATCTCTGGGCTTACACACACAGGTGTTTGTAAACATTCATTCACTACTACTTGCATTTAATATCTAACTCCTTCAGCCTACTTTCAGCTATAAACCATTCAACTATTAACTTATTCAGCTATTTCAGGACATTGAGGCTACAGTATACATTTAGTTGTTCATACCTTTTTTTAAACCTTTTCTTTTAAATATTAAGCTTCTTCACTATTTTTCCTACTCTTCCAGTTTAACATTTCACAAGTTTCCAACAAAGTCATTGCAATGCATTTGAGCTGTAACAATTTTGATTCAAATCATTTCACTTTTCTGCATTTCTCCGCTAAGTTCAGCAACACACTTACTTATAATTTGAATGGTCTCTGTTGCTGCTTTTAGCTACAGAGACCATTCAAATAATAACATATTCAGCTTTTTCTGCATTTTCAGCTAAATTCAGCAACAAATGTACAGTTTACAACATTCACACGCATTTTCAGCAGGAAATGCATTTTCTAGTTTGCTTTTGTGTTCCATAAGAACATGTCCAAGATGTCCATGTGACAGAACTAGCTACATTTGGAAAGGTTTTTTTGTTGGCTGCTAAAGGTAACATTCAAGCCATTTAAGAATACAAATGCTTACATGTCATGTCCTTTGTTAAACATTACGCTGTCTTTGGCTCTTTTCTGCTGTAACAAATGTAAATGTCACCTCTGTGGAACAAATAAAGGGATTCTGATTCCATTTAACCTGTTGTGGAAACATTTCTTGATCTAATTGAAACAAATGACACATATCTCTGTGACACCGATGTCACATCGGGACATTAACCCTAAACATTCACAGTAAACCCGGAGTGACACATATGCACAATTAGAAATATTATGATCTGATCAGTTAATTTAGCTGATGAAATTATATTTAGTTAACATGTTCTTTATTCTTCAATTCAAAGTATGTTCAAACAAATGTAAACCAAAAAATCATCCTCATTCATTAAGTTATAAATAAGTTACTTTACCATTAAAACTCAATGTGACATATATGTCACATTTTAGATATGTGACACTAGGGGGTGTTACTTGTCAGAAATGTGTTCTAGGTGGTCTATTTAGTCTAAATAACATTTCCCCAAAAGTAGAAATGGGTCCGGGTTCTTATGGGTTGAACATATTGCTTAAAGGCATAATATAACTACTGTATTATATGTATTGAGCTTGTGCCCCGCTGGACTTACTTTTCTGTGGTTTACCGTTACTGTGACATATCAGTATTAGCCATGGAAGATAGTTTGTTTGTTTAATTCCTATGTTGCATCAAGGTTATTTTCATGTATGTAATTGTTTTTCCTGCACAGTGTAGAGTCTTGTTGTGATGAGAGGGATACAGGTATTTCATAAAAAAAACTTGCTCGTTGGAGAATAGCTACATAATTTATATCACAATTTAATCGGAGCTGATCACAACTTGTCACAGATGATCCAGTCATCTCAATGCTGCTTTCGGGCTGTGAATAAACAACTTGTGTTTTACTTTTAGGCTGTCTGAAGGTATGGACAGCTATCAAAGCTACTATACATCACATTAAGAACGATGTACAAATGAAAGTCGGACACAAATATATAATTTAAATGGTTTATTCAAGTTTGCAATGTTTTGAACAGGCATCCACACAGTCACCTACTTTGTCATTTCCGATACAACCCGGTGTCAGCAACTACGGCAGTCGCAGATATGTCATATTTAATGCAGCCGAACCGTGTATTATAATGCCGTTATGTGATGACTTTCAAAGAGAAAATCAAGCACACTCGGAATAAAGTATTATTTTATTTTTTTTAAATGTTTTCGGATTTCACATCACATAAACACCAAATCCCAGCGTGCATTGAAGCCAATCATTGAGCTGAGGATCTTGCCTACGTCTGTTTCCGGTTTCGTTTATGACGGATGTATTTTGTTATACACACATTCCTTCACATTTTAATTTTAATTTACATTAAAGTATTTCGTGAGGCCTTCTAACATGTTTTTAAATATAACTACGGTTTTAGTTGATATTGTAAATTAACATGAACCGAAGCTGTTGCCTGGCAACGCAATCGCACAACGTCACGTCCGTTAATTCCACATCCACATGCATGGATTAACATCGATTTAATACATTAATGCAGAGCCATAGAGAGATAAGGGCTCTGCATTAATGTAGCCTTTGTTTCTGCTAAAAGAGGTGTCGACCAGCTGGGGCAACAAGAAAATCGTCGTAATCGAGTGTGACTATTAAAAAATAAATAATTATTATATTAATATTGACGATAACAACCGACCGTCGGGGTAGCATTTGCTTGGCATTTCCGGGTATTTCTCCACTGGTTAACATGGGTTAACAATACCGTGTAACTGTCACGTTTGAAGGGACGAAATCGTGACATCTTCACATCTCCCAGCATGGTAAATCGTCACATGTTCACGTCTTGCCGTGATATCGGGTTGTTCCGATACCTCCCTGTAAGCGTCACGATATCGACCTCTCACCCACAACCTCACATACGAGTACTGAATGTGCATCAAAAGGATCTTAGGAAGGCAGATATAGCAAAAGATGAATGTAAACGACAAACCAGGCGATCGACATGTTTATTTCCTGGTAAGTCTACAATGGGTCCTCAATGTACACGTCCCGGATTCCTGTGACGAAAATAATAGAATGCCGCCAGTTGTCACGACTCAAGTTATACTGTAACACCGGCGGTCTATCCGCCAATGTGTCAATCACTTGCACGTCACTTCTGTATAATGGGCATTCCCTTTCCGGTTTGATTCTCTAGTTTGTTAAAGTGTTTCGACACTTGTTAATTTGTTTTTGTTAACGTTAAATCGTTTATTCTTTGGTAAAAGTGTTTTGCTAATGTAATTTTGTAAAATGTACATTTGTTTTATAAGATGTACATTTGTCTGAAGCTTTGTTAAAGTGTTTCACACTGATTGCACCTCTCAGCCACCATACTCTTCTTTAGAGAAGACCAGGAAATGATGGATACACGGATCGTGTTCAAATCAATAGGCACGCAATGACTCTAAAGAATAATGATCACGCACCAAACACACATTCAGACTAAAGGAACCAGCTGTTTGGAAAATGTAAGAAGTAGAAAGTACAGGTATTTGAGTTCAACATGTAAGAAGTAGAAAGTACAGGTATTTGTGTTCAACATGTAAGAAGTAGAAAGTACAGGTATTTGTGTTCAACATGTAAGAAGTAGAAAGTACAGGTATTTGAGTTCAACATGTAAGAAGTAGAAAGTACAGGTATTTGGGTTCAACATGTAAGAAGTAGAAAGTACAGGTATTTGAGTTCAACATGTAAGAAGTAAAAGTAAAAAGTCGTCAGAAAAATAAGTAGTGGATTAAAGTATACTGAACAGAAACATTTACTTAAATACAGTAACAAAGTATTTGTACTCCACTACTTC